TACAGGGTAATGTTTTTGCAGTAGTTGTATAGTTATGTTGCCGGTAATGATTAAACTTGGATAGATGATGCATCTAGGAAAGGACACTTCCAGACTTGCTCCTTATGTTGGAAGTGACAATTATTTTCTTGATGTGTGAAGAAATAAAATTTGTGGAGCAAGTCTATTTCAAAGTAAGTCTAACTTAAACCAGATTTGCATGGATATTGATGTTGGTATGCACACTAAAAGCTAGGAAAAAAAATTGATTTGAAATTTGCTAGCTTATAGATAACATTTGTCAAGGTGAGCTTAGTAATCTTTTATTATCTATGTTTAATATGTTGTTGGTTGATGGCATATGCAATTAAAAAAAAAATATTTTGGGCATATTTTTGGGAATAAATTGCTTGGAATAATGTTGCAAATTCCTAAACTGTGATAATTTAGTCTCTTCTCTTTGATCAGTTAAGCATAGAGCTAACGAGAGACCCAAAGGACAAGACCTAGGATCTTTTTAGTCTACATCTGCAGCCAACTATTGAACAATTGTTCATCTATAGAAAAAAACTTAGCTTTGTTACAAGTACAGCTCATGTTGATCTATGTTTTTCGTGATGGTTTGTTAAAAAATGTGGTCATCAAGTGATGTTTGGAGCTTCAGTGTTCTTTAAGGATTAATGCAGAAGTTTGTATGCTTGCGTGTGGAGCATCTATTATACTCTTATTGGCTAGTTAATATGGTATTTTCTATAGTTCTGTACTCATTATTTTTCATAATAAATACACAGTGTCTTACATATTTGCACATTATTTAATGTCTTTTTTGTGTAGAATGATTTTATTTCATCTCCAAGTCTTTTAGTTTTTTGTAAAGGGTTCATTCCACTTCTATCTCTGCAAATTTATTGATCTACCAAAAAAAAGTATTTTGGCATCAGTAAATATTATTGTACCCAATGAACCTATTATATTTATTTGTTCAAAATTGTTAGGTATTCAAGTTATGATAAATTATTTAAAGTCACCAAGTGTTAGAATTTGTAATATTCAAAATTTATATGCTAAGAATTTCTGATCAGAAAGTGCATTCTTACTGTGAATATGCTATTTGAGTAATGTTTTGCTTCTTGAGATAAATTGGAAGCCAATGTTTTATATTCTGTATGTGTTAAATGTCCATTTACGTATAAGATTTTGCTTATCTAAGCCTTTTAATAATATCAAGGTTTCAACAAAAAGTTTACAATATTTACTCAACCTGATTAATCAGACTTTTAATTATAGAAACATAAGGCAAATTAAGACTAATGATGGTACTATCTTTGGTTGTAAATTCCACACATAAAGATTAAAAGCCTATAAGAATTTTATATGTGTTAAACTCATTTTTTACTGCATTTTTTTCTGTATTGAAAGCAGAATTTAGGTGACATTTTGATAAGGGTCTAGCTAAGAAATGTTAAATTCTTCAAGCACATATCATGAGTTTTTTTGATAACAATTTTGTGATAGATTGAATTCATGAACACTTAATGGTGCTAGATTGTACACTTTCTAAAGTTTGACTATCAGTAATGGATTTTTATTTCTAATGAACAATTGATTTTATGAGCATGAGTTCTTTAAGAAAAACCAAGGATCATAATCCAAGGAAGACGCATGTGAAGGTGCAAGTATTTGCTGCGCATTTAAATAATTGTTGCAATAATTAGATATTCATGAAGTTAGAAGTATCAGGTACTGGGTTCAAGGTTAAAAGCTGGGTCATTGTAATGTTGACTTTGTTCTTTGAATTTTGATGTTTGAGTTAAATATTCATTCTGGACTAAACTAGTTTTTTGAACTACGTGTACTTGATTTTTTCCCATAGACTGCGTTGTTTAAACTTATTTAACTATACTATGCTCAGCTGAGGTCTCTTATATTCAGGTGGGTTTGACGTCATAATTTGAAAGAAAGCTAGATTTTTTATTTCACAAGGGTACTAACTTTATTCAATCTATTGAATTCGTTTGAGGGTGACTTTAAGTTGATATTTTGGATGGTGATTTTTAAAATTCATATCCAATACACATGCACCAAATAAATTTAATAATAATTCTATAATGCCTTTAATGCTGATGTTGTAATGTAACAGCTACTTCTTGATGATAGATAAAATTTTGTATTTCATGTTAATGATGTATGTTCTTTGTATGTTCTTTGAATTGAGGATTAGTCTAAAATGCTCCTAATGCATATCCATGCATGTATAGTATCAACATTTAGGCTTTCATACTACATTGTTTCTGAAGCATAGCAATTAAGATATCACAAAGTCTACAGTTTCACTTACAGTACTAAGATCGATTGCAATGATAGTCCTATTATTTCTTTGTATCTAGGTAGCATCAAGGAGGTCATTTATGAGTCTGACTGTTTTGTAAATTTGGTTCTGTCTTAACGAGTCTTGATAGAGCTTACAAATGAAGAAACTGTTATGGACTGTTTTTTGTGAAGTAGTTTTTTTTACATGCATATATAAAGTCTTTACAAATAGGATTTTTAAATATTAACTTTGGGGAAAAAAAGGATTTTTAAACATTAGTTTTGACAAAAATGACAAGATTTACTTGCTGGTCTGAAGTTTTGGACCTATCAATATTTTCTATTACAAAGGTCTAATGATAGCCATTTGCTTCCATTGTTTGGAAAAATACCCTCTTTAAAATAGTGACTATTCATTATAAAAAATAAGATGTGCTTGTGAAACACTGATGCCCCTGTATGGCAACATAGCGAAGGTAAAACTTTTCTTACATGCAAATCAAATATGTTGTTACCCAAAGTACGGTCTTCTCACAATAAAAATACAATTGTGAAATATGAAAGCCCTAGCACCACCTGTTCAAAAGTTATGGCCAAGGATAAGATTTTGAAAGGTAGGTCAGACTCCAGGGTCAAGGTCAAAAGATCAAGGTTGTTGGTTTCTAAAGAAAGGTCTTGACACAAGGATTATATATATATATGAAGTATGAAAGCCCTAGCCCTAATCATTCAAAAGTTATGACCAAGGTTAAAGTTTTTTAAAAGTAGGTCAAACTCCAAGGTCAAGGTCATTGGGTCAAAGTTCTTGGTATCCAATGAAAGGTCTTGTTACAAAGGATTAAATATGTGAAGTATGAAAGCCCTAGCCCTAATCCATCAAAAGTTATGGTCAGGTTTGTTTTTAAAAAGTAGGTCAAATTCCAAGGTCAAGGTCAAAGATGTTGATATCCAATGAAAGGTCTTCTCCAATGATTATATAATTGAAATATGAAAGCCCTAGCCCTAACCTGTCAGAAGTTATGGCCAAGGTTAAATTTTTTTTAAAGTACATAAATCTCTAAGTTCAAGGTCAAGAGGTCAAAAATATTGGTATTCAATGAAAGGTCTTGTCACAAAGAATACATGTGTGAAGAAAGCCCTAGCCCTTACCATTCAAAAGTTATGACCAAAGTAAAAGTTTGGAATTTTTGTGTAAAAAGGTATCAAACTCCAAGGTCAAGGTCAAAGGTCAAATTTGGGGGTACCAAAAGAAAGGTCTTGTCACAAGGCATATACATGTGAAATATGAAAGCCCTAGCTCTAACTGTTCCAAAGTTATGACCAAGATTTAAGTATTTAATTGTGCATCAAACTCTAAGGTCAAGGTTAAAAGGTAAAAAATATTTATACCCACTGAAAGGACTTGTCACAATAAATACACAAGTGAAGTATGAAAGCCCTAGTTCCGACTTTTCAAAAGTTATGGTCAAGGTTAAAGTGTGATATTTTTTTTGTAAAAGTAGGTCAAGCTACAAGGTCAAAGTCAAGAATTGATATTTGCTTTTACCTAGCCATTTGCTCAGGTGAGCAATGCAGTCCCAGGGCCTCTTGTTTTCTATTTTTTAATTCAGAACAATGCTACCAAGTCCACTGACCTTGTTAAGACCCTATTTTGATACCATTTTGTTGATGTTGGATACTTTCTCCTTAATTCACTGGAGATTGGCACAGAAAAGTTTTATTTTGAGTACGCAGGATTTGGTATTAGGATATGAAACAGGTGCAGCTAAAATATCTTAAGCAATCAAAGAATCTTTTTACTGAACTCATACAGTTGAAAAAATATACTATTTGTGAATCCCCTTGAAAACCTTGATAAAAGGGGGTTAAACATATATACAGAGTTACATGCTCGAAGCATAAGCTTCAGACACCAGATATGTTTGACTTTGCTGGTTCTAGAATTAGCTCTCTATGTACCATGTGGCATCAGCTCTCAGTAATGTATAGGGCTTGTTTAATCAATTAGGTGTTTAATAAGAGATCAAAAGAGTGAAAACAGACTCCTCAAGAAAGTGGTACTGTGTAAACTAAATTATTTAGACAGTGTGTATTTATGTTTTATATAAGAACAATTACTGTGGCTTTGTTTTTTCCCAAGTAATGTTCCATTTTTATACATTAATGTATCATTCTCCAAGAGTCAGTATGTAAGGTTACTTCTGCAGATTAACAGAGTGAAAATGCTGAAAGGTTCAATGCAAACTAAAGCTTAATTCTAATGTACAGTTATAGAGGGTACTTAATTTGTCTATGACAATACATTTAATGAATTAAAGTTATATAAAAAAAAAAAAAAACAAAGACAAAAACAAATTTAAACCGTAAGTTAATAAACAAAATAAAATTCCAGAACTTGTAATGAATAAATTTATAAAATATTTCCTTCTGACATATTAAAAAAAAAAAAATTGCAATATATACGTTATGTCAAATGCAGTGAGTGTCTGAATTTTCATTCTATGTTAAATACTGTATTTTGTGGCCCATTTTTATCATTGATCTTTTGTTTGGGGAAAACTCTGTGAAGTTACATCGGACTATTCCATAATGAAATATTTGATAGATAATTTAATTGACTATTTTCCAGTGTTGTAAGTGCACAAACGAAGTTTATGTCTTTTTGCCAAAATGAGGGAGAAAAATAGCAACATCAGAGACATTTGACTTCATACCATGTGGAGGAATAATTGTAGGATATCCATTGTAGTTATAATGGCACCATGTGAAAACTTTGTTTTAGCCTGTATGTGAAATTGGTGTCTTTGGTATTGGAATTGATTTCCAAGACTTGTTCAAACCATGCTACGTCATGGCCTCTCTGTTTGCAAACACCCTAGGTTTGTAAAGTGGTGCAGTGCCAAAATTTAGTGCTGCTGGGAAAATGGTGAAAAACTGAAAATGTAGGCATTTTATAAAGTGGAAATAATGTTGGTTATGTCAGCCAATGGTGTGACTGTGCGCTCCATTCAGCAAGTGACCATTTTTACTGTGGGAGCTATTAGTTTCCAGGATTTACCGGTCAGTTAATAGTACTTATTGAAGTAAAGTATTATCTTAAGATGCATTCTAGAAGTTATGACTCTATAAGTATTTTAAAATTTCTAGCATTGCTTGTGTTGCTTCTAACATAAATTTTAAAATATAGATTGACATGCGTATAAACATTTTGACACATATTTTAAACATTGGTATAAATCTAGTGTGAAAAGAGTTCTTTTATGTATCATAGAATTACATTACAGATGAAATCTGTCTAGATTTTTTTCTCTAACTAAAGGTTCTACTGTACAGTAGCAAGAATAGACAATGTTAATGCCATCATTCTAATCTACACCCCCCTTTCTGAATGTGTTTTAAATTTTAATTTGATTATTAGCCCTCTAAATTTTAAATTAGCTGGTTAACCATTTTTATTTAATGTAAGAAAAATAACCATTCCTGTAAAACTTGATCATTCAATTGCATTTTCTTGAAGAAAAGTAAGGTTATTTGCAAGGTTAATTTTGTAGCTTCAAAAAAGTAAAATATATGCTTATAATAAATTCTTAGTGATTTGTGTATTTAGTTATGATAACAAAAATGATAGATCATACAAAGGTTTTACATCAAGCCTGGCAATTGGACCTTCATATCACTATATCCACTATGAAATAAATCACAAAAGAAAGAGATTTGCACATTTGCTGAGAAATAAGAACCATTCAAGTTTATTTTTTTTATGTATATTTTAATGTCAAATTTTGAATGCACTGGAAATAAAACAATGGAAGGTCAAAAACACACCTGGTCCAGATAACTAAATTAAAATTGTCCACAGAATGCATGACAACTATGAGTGGTTAACCATGTTATTCAGTGCTGATCAAGAGTATGGTTTTAACTACATATTGGAGAATTAGGCTTAGGCCACACCAATAAAATTTTTTGTTCGTCGGACCCACACTCGAGAATTTAAACAAAACTATACAAATAATATTGATTTAAAATTCCCGCACAATGGGAATCCTGTGCTGTTTTCTGTTCCATTTCCGCTCTATTTATCGTACTTTTAATCGATTTACTATAGATAGTTTTCAGTAGACCCATATTAATACAAATTATTTCCCTTGGCTGCCATTTTGGTGGTCAACATGGTAATTTTTCCTCTTTGTCTTTCCAAATTTAAGAGGTTGAAGTGGAAATATTTGGTGAAAAAAAATGTTGGAATAAACTTTATGAAATAAAGGAGGCTCTAACAAATGTATATTTTTCTGAAAAACAATGCTTCCCAGCCCACAATTACCAGTATAAAAAGTTAAAGTTGCATGGTTGAATTATGAAGGAATATGATCATGCAGACCCCCAATATGGTGGCCGACGGGAAATAGCTTGTTAATTTGGGTCTGCTGAAAACTATCTATAGAGGAATTATTTATTTAAACTTTTTTGAAAACCTACAGTCACATTACAATGGTAGGGAGCTACAATTTTAGGAATTTTGAAAAATTTTTCGACACTTTTCTATAGATTGAATTTTTCTTACTACGTTTATCACAAGACATTAGTATTTGTAGACAAAATCTCAATAAAAAATGCCAATAATGAATGTGTTTTATATTTTATGTAAATAAAGCACTTAGTTTGCATGAAAAAGTACATTTAGAATCTCTTGTTTGTAACAGTTACAAAGTAGAATATATCCATGATATATTTATACTGTACATAACCTTGCATACAATGTTGTTCTTTCTGATATACAAACAGGTCAAATGTTGCTTTGAATTTTTATTCAAAATTTTAAACCAAAAAAAAAAATTGATATTAACACAAAATAACAACAATAACAATAAAATTTTCTCATGTATATGATATTCATTATAGAATTGTACAGTCCTTCTTTAATTGATCATTATCTACTGTACAGTTTCATGTAACACCAGTTTCTGAAGAAGAGCATGAACTAAACAACACTGTGCCCGCTCGTCCAACACCGGAGCTAAAGTTTGACATCGATGATGAAGCGGATACTCTTAGTAACCACAACAGCATCACTGCACTGCTGTCCTCCAAATTCAGGGTAAGACAAAACTCCTATACATATAATCTTCACAAGATATTAACCAGATTTAGGGCTATGAAGCATTAACAAAAACACATCACAGCACTATCATCTTACAAATTCGTGTAAGGCGAAACTTTTTTTTTTTTTAAATCTTCACAGTACCAGGTTGTCCAGATGTAGGGCTCAGAAACATTGATGAAAGTTGAAAACATGTCATGGCACTGTTATTCTCCAATTTAAGGGGAGGACAATGGTATGAAATGTTACCTTAACAGCACTGTTCATCTTTATACTGGATAATCTCATTTTCTAACTCTAGTTCAACCTTGAAAACAAATTTTTAAAAATTGTGATCGAAGGGGGGAAGAAATGGAACCACTTTAACATACCCAAGTACAAAACATGTCTACGAATTCAGAGTAGAACACTATTACCTTCCATACTAATGTAAGGTATAATTTTTATGGCAAAACATTGTTAAAGCATTGCATGTATTCTCTTCACTGAGAACAAAACCCTGTACACAAAATGCAAAAAGAGTCATTCAAATTCAAGGCCAAGTCAAGGGTTATGTAAGGTTATAGGCTATAAGTTCATCAATATCAAGATTAAGTCAAGGGTTAAGTTCATCAATTCAGCGTAAAACCAATGGTTAAGTTCATCAAACTTGAGGTAAGGTCAAGGATTAAGTTCATCAAACTCAAGGTAATGTCAAGGGTTGAGTTCATCAAACTTGAGGTAAGGTCAAGAGTTAAGTTCTTCAAACTTGAGGTAAGGTCAAGAGTGAAGTTCATCAAACTTGAGGAGGTCAAAGTTATGTTCATCAAAGAGGTAAGGTCAAGGATAAAGTTCATCAAACTTGAGGTAAGGTCACGAGTTAAGTTCATCAAACTTGAGGTAAGGTCAAGAATTGAGTTCATCATATTCAAGGTAAGGTCAAGGATTAAGTTCATCAAGGTAGGGTGAAGGGTTAAAGTCAAAATTGATATAAAGATCACCAACCATAGTTTTCAGAACAATGCTACCACATCATAAAATTAAGTTGATTTTTTTGACAAAAAGAAAAAAAATAAGAGCATAGTGCCTGATTTGAACAAAGTTCTTGTGAACAATTTTCACACTAGAATTTACAAAGTTCCTGAAGAATAAGACTATTTTAGATGAGGCCTGTTTTGACTTTGATGTGATTATTGTAATGTTGTAGGATATACAGAAGAGGCTCAAGCAGTATGGTATTGAATCACCACGATTCAGGAAGAGGCTGGTATCCAGATGGGAGGTTGGTAGATCCCAGACACTCCCCCCAAAGCACAGAAAAAATTAATTACCCAAGAGTTAATTATAATAAAAGTTTCATCATGTTGATCAAACGGTATATTATCTTTGACAGCATACGCCACGAACCCCACAATTTCTTTTTTTTTTTTTAAATAATATCATAATGATGTTATTCTGTTAATTTTATTATGTGCATATTTGTAAATTATATGATTCTTTCAAAATTTCAAAGATGCAGAAAATTCCTTTGAAATAGAAATTCTGTTCATCCTCTGTATAGTTGTTTGGGTCGTAGTATTATTCACTCTAGGTGCCATTTGATTGGACCAAATTTAATTAGCTCTAAATGTGATTTATGTTTTGTACAAAAATCTGACTACTAGCTCACATGACCTAATTAAATTAACCACCCCTTGTTGTCTTAATTTGTCAGTTTTCTGGGTGATCTGGATTTTTCAAATGTTGCCTGTTGGGAATTTTTTCACTTTACACTCAAAGCACAAGCCAGAAATTTAATTTGAAAATTAGAAAATTAACTATCTCTCCCACTGAGTTGTCACTTCTATAACATATATAACCTTTGAGCTGTGGAATAAACTTTGTTGAGCTGTGTCATTTTCTTAATGCTTAACTCTCACTATAAGGCTGTGAAGTATCGATTCCTCAAGTTCTTAATGTTCCAATTCAATTTTGTTTGTATGGCCATTTAATTCTTTAAAGGTAATCAACCTGTAAAAAGTATATTGTTATTGATTATCAAAACACTTAGGTCACAAACTGTTCTCCAGCTGTATAAAGCATATTTGATCGTTTATTGAACCTATTGTGTCACTTTAAAGACACATTACTAATTTGGAGCAGGTTGAATCTATTCCTTTTTGTCTGTATTTTAGGTTGAAAATAAAAGAAAATTAATGTAAACAAAAAATATGTCAGCTCACCTGAGCCACAGGTAGATTCTGATTTGCTCAACTCCTGACCCCTAGTGTAGGATGATGCCGCAATGGGATCAAAGTTTTGCATAGTTATTTATAGAAACCTATCTTGCAAAAAAGAAAAAGGAAAAAGCAGGGTGGGGTCATTAAAAAACCTTATCTCAAGAACCACTGGTCCAGAAAAGATAAAACTTTGTGAAAGCTTCCTGACATAATGTAGATTCTAGTTTTATCAAATCATGACCCCAAACTGGAAGAAAGGGGCCATATGAGGCGAACAAAGTTTTACTCGTACATGGGAATACATAGGAGAAATCTGAATTTTTTTCTCAAGAACAGCAAAGACATGATTGGTCATATTTATATGTCAGCATCCTCAGATAGTGCAGATTCAAGTTCGTTCAAATCATGACTCCCTAGTAGAGTGGGGTCACGATGGTTGATCAAATTTTTAGCTAATATGAAAAAAAAAACATTAAAAAAATCATCTCAAGAACAGTAAAGCAATGATTAGAGATATTATATGGAAGAACCCTCAGGTAGTGTAAATTCAAGATTGTTCAAATCATGACCCCCAGGGGTAGGGAGGGTCATAATTGGTGATCAAAGTTTTACATGGGATTACATAGGTTGAATCTTTAAAAATCTTCCTATAAATAGGAACTTGATGATTTAATTCAAAAGCATCCTTATTTAAGCTAGATTCATATTTGTTTACCTGTAAATCATGTTCTTGGGGGTGTAGGGAAGAGCCATAATTGAAGAACAACCTTAAATCATAGAAATTAGGAGCATCCTCAGTGAAAGAATTTAATTCACGGCCCCCTTTCCCTCGGATTTGGGGAGGGGGATTTACGGTCACATAAATATTTAATCTTTTCAATTCTACACTGATTTCTGCTTTTTCCTAGGCAATGTGCTCAGGTGAGCAATGTGGCACATGGGCCTTGTTCATATTGCTACCTGGGGAGGGGAATATCTGTTTCTCAAACACTTCTTGTTTGATGTCTGTTCTGACTCATTATTATATATCATTAATCAAACATTATTGCATTCAGAGTCATGACAGAAGATATCATCCAATAGGTAGTGTGAAAGATGAATTTTTTATAAACTACCTGAAATGGGAATATGAAATAAAACGTAATTTTGAGGAATTCACAATAAAAAAGCAAAATGTATTTACAAAATTTAGTTAAGAGACTGGGCTATCTGAGGCTATGTGTGGGTTTAATCACTCCCGCATAATGATTATTTTATTGTTTCTTCAACATTTCTAAGTCTGATAGAGTAATACACAGTTTAGTCCATGCAATGACAATTCTGCTCCAATTTTTTAATACACTTTTACACTTTCATCACAGCTTAGCTTAGACTTTTTGACACTTTGCTGAAATTCTATGAACCATTGACATTTTAGTTTAAGACTGTTCAGCTCATAGACAATGTCACCAGAGAAGTTAAGTTAGGGAATCGGCGAGGGCTTTACTTGGGAATATAAATTAAAATTAATAATAATAAAAAGATAGTCTTTCAATATTTTAAAACATACTCATGATATGTAAATTCTAGTTTGGTAATGTTGCAACCTTTTGGGGCAAGGGTGATTCAACAAAATTTTCATGAGACAAAGAGGGATTTTTTTTTTAAATCTTCTAAAGAAGCAGTACCAAGGATACTCAGTTGAGCATTGTGGCCTGTACAGTCCTACAAACTGCATATAACATAATTTGTGGAAGGTGGAGGGGGGGGGGGGGGCAACAAAAGATTGCGGGGTCACTTGGTCAAAATCCAAATGGCAATGTTAAAAAAAATCAGAATCATTTCATTAACACTTTGTGAGGCGCTCCATATAATTTTCTAGTGTCATCATTTTTCTTTTTCTTGTTCCATTAAACTCAGTTGAGATAAATCTATTGTAATGTGTGATAAAAACTGTTTTGTTTCAGAGCATGAATTATGATGTATGTGAGAATGTGTTGTACCTTAAAGATCAAGAAAAGTATAAATCAAAGGTGATTATAATTAATATTTAAATCACAGTTACAGGTATTTTTTATCTTCGGAACTTAAGTATGATACATGCAGCCAGACACTGTTCACACTAACAATTAACATAACCTTAATGTACATGTTGTATGTTTAAAGAAATACTTTATGATTAATATGAGATCGAGAAGCAGGCCATGTCACATAAGTCTCTGTTAATGTAGATGTTAAATGTTGTTAAAATCAACAGAAGTTGCAAAATTTCTGTACATCATATGAAGTTTCAACTTTACTCAAAAGTTTTAAGAATGGTGAAATAAATTGATCCACTTTTTGAACTGCAACATGTAACAAGTCAGTCACGTTTTTGATCTGTTAGTGCAGCAAGATCAAGGACATTTCAAAAATAATTTTGGCCTGATAGCAGAGATTCTATGTAATTGTATTATTGTTTTAAAGGTTTTCAAGTGCAGTCTTTGTTTTACTCATAGTGGAAAAATAATAAGATTGTTTATCACACTCGTATCACATTTATAACAGTGTCCTGTCCATTATTGAGGTTAGCTTCTTAATACTTTCAAGATTGCTTTAGCTAAATTTTACATCTAAAAAAATGAAGGACTTAATATATACATGTAATTTTTAAATGTTTGTTTGATATAATTTTTTCTTGAGTTAGTTTTTTGCTGCTTAAAAGTTTCCTTAAAAAAAAGTACGGGTATGCAATTTTTCCAATCGCTATGCAATATGACAAAAAAGCTCCAATGTTTAAAAAATTCTCGATTTTTGCAGAGATGCATAAAATGTGAAAAAAATTGATTGATTAGTTTTTTTCAACTCGGTGTCTTGCTCTTCCAAAATAGAAGCATATTAAAGGGAAGAGAATTAACAGTCTTCATTTATTTTATCCTAATATGAGATAGATATCAGCCATTAATTTTTGAATGCCTTATTTTCCATTATAGAAATGGGTGACTCTGAGATGGTTGAGCAAGTGGTTGGTAATGTTTTTCATTGGAATAGGAACAGCTCTGCTAGCAGCAACCATTTATTATGTCGTGGAAAAGCTAGCTCACTACAAATTTGAATTAATTTCACACTGTATCCTTTGTAGAATGATAGATTTAAAGTAATGACATTAGCTCTTCTATAATAACTCTTTTCTTGATACGATGGGATCTGATATAATCATTAATCATCATTAGTTTTATAGCTTGAGTTGCAAGATAAAACTTGATCAAATTATCTTGCTTTTAAAAAACTGCTTTCTTTTTATTGATTTTTTGAATTAAAATTTTGATTTGAGCCTATGTTCTTCAATCATTCTGGAATATTAATTGTTTAGAGATCTCTAATGAGAAAAAAAGTGATTAGATAATTAATATGGGAAATAATAACTGTTTACTGTAAGAGTCTTCATACTTTATTATCTTGGCCTGAGAAAGTGAATCTAAACTGAGAAATTTGACTTTAACAATGTAAGATTTTGATGAATGTGCCAAAAATAATTGTTTGTATCAGCCTGCTTTGTTATGGATGGGCATCAACTTGGTGGTAACAATAGCAGGGGCATCTTTGGTCACGTTTTTACAGGTATGTTATACTGGTACTATACAGATGTGGAATAGTGTTTGAATCAAATATTTACACATGTATATTGAAAAAACACACAGGTTTAATATGAATATGATTTTGCAGCCATTGGCAGCAGGGAGTGGTATTCCTTACATTAAGTCGTACCTAAATGGGATCAAGATCCCGGGATTGCTGACATTCCGAGCATTTGTTGCTAAGACTGTGGGCGTTGTTTTGTCCATTCTTGGAGGCCTGGCCTGTGGAAAGGTAAATTATTGAAAATGAGGTGTTTTTACATTGTGTGTGCTGAAGTTTGAAACATTGAAATGCTACTTTTTTTTTCTCTGAATTTTAGACTTATTAATTTCTCATTTTGTTTCATATTTTGACTCTAACTTATGTTCATCTTCTATGATTCATTATAGATATCATTAAGATCCAATAGGCTAGGTTTCCTTATAGTTATTAAACTATACAATATTGGGCAGATAGCTAGACTATCTATTTAAGTTGCAAATATGTAGAAATTCAAGAATTAACAATGAAAGTTCACAAATGAAAGTTCACATAGAATATTGTCTTAGAGACTTAAAACCACTCAATACCAAAATATTTTCAATGCACCATGATATAAGGGAATTTTTTTTTAAATTTACACACAATTTCAAATTCTGTTTAGGATATCATTTGATCCTATTTAAATGTTTCACAATGAAACTTGATAACCTAAATTTTTTATTAACTATAACATTTTCATAAAATTATTTCTTAATAAAAATATTTCATCAGAAGTCAATTTTAGATAAATCATAATATGAATCAAAAACTGGCATGAAGTGCCTTGCATGAAGAATACACATGATTATGTCATTTAAATAGAAAGAAATTTAATTTTAATAAATATTGTGAAAAAAAATTCCAATTTGTATCGTACAAGGAATCTGCGGTTAAAATATAAATGTCCCATGACTACTAAGTTATTACAGAGAGTGCAAACAATAGTTCCGCTTATTTGCAGCATTAGTTCACTTCTCTTACTGCTTGAGCTTTAAAGTTTCATGTTTGCGAAATAATTTGATTACTCTGAAGTCACTAATCCATGAAATATCATGCACAAGAACATGTACTTATATGCAGGAGTGATCTAAAACTTCATTATCTGTCCAACAGTATGACAGCGCAGAGTAAGTAATGTATATGTCTCAAACAGGAACTAACGATTCTCAGAACTTGTCTGATTAGACATGCATGTTAACCTTAGGAAAAGGGAAAAGTAGATAAATGAAAAAAAAATAGCAGCATAATTACTGTATAATAATAGTTGTGAAAGATGTCTTCATGGCATTTTAGGAGAATTTTCAACAGCTCATGAGGCCAAGCTTAAAAAATTCTTTGTTTGCAGTTGCCGACCTAAAATTTTTAGACTGGGTAGGTAGGTAGGCGTTTTTTTTTTTTTTTTGTTTTTTTTTTATTTTTTGAAAAAAAAATGTTTTAAGATTTTAGATAACAAATGATCATGATGATAAAGCTTCTCATAGGCCTACTAAACACAAATCAGCTCCACTCTTGATATAAACCACTGATTGAAAATGAAAGTTTCAATATCCTAAAAAAAAAAAAAATTTCCAAAAATGGCTTAAAAAAAAGTTTGGGCCGGGTGCATTTTCAGTGGGTTGGTCGGCAACTGCAAACAAACAAATTTTTATTTTAGGCCTGAAGCTTATTATAAAATAGAAAAAAAATATTTTGGCTTGAAATTAACATATATATTTTATTGCTGCATAAATCAATATGACTTCTTGTTTATTTTTTTATCAGACAAAAAAAAAATCTCTTCTTGAATGATTCAAAGCAGCATTGCTTCATTTGTGATTTTCCATGTACTAAAAAGTTTTTACCATAAAATTTGAGAAAAAAAGAATATTTAAGCTCCTTTTTAACATTTAAAAAAAGCTGTGAGAAGAAAAAAAATTTGCTACGAAAATAAATATTTTTTTTACTTACTACAACAGGGTTAACATGTATGCTGTAGACAAAGCAAGCCCCAAAACCTTAAACTGTAAAAGCATGTTAATTGTCAACCATCAACTAATTCATTTTTCTACCATCATCTTATATTTTGCATGTTTATACACATAGAATTTTGGTGCTGGAAAATGAAAACTTAATTAGCATGTTTCCAAAAAAAAAAAAAAAAAAAAAAAAAAAAAAAAAAAAAAAAAATTCAAGGTGGTAATCATCTCATATCATATGTTCTCACTACCCTCTCTCAATCTCATCTTTCACCAAGTTTTCTATTTTAACAGGTGGTGAGTATTTATTAAATCCAGTGGATACTGTATTTATGCTACAAATGTATACTGATGTATTATCTTTTTATCTCTACATAATGTATATTCATTCATGGAGATTGATTAATCTTAAACATCTTTTTTTAAATTTTTTAAAGTAAAATATTTTGGTTAGTGATAGTATTGCATGTACAGATAGAGCCTTAATTTATATATGTTTAATGATATTTTGGTGGATGTTATTTTTGTGATTGAACATGAATTGACAAAACGTATGTGTTAAATTGATACTCTCATTTGGTGCTGTTGACACAAGATACCAACATCAGATGCATGTGTATATTTTTTGTTCCCTGCATTTGTGAAGAACAAGATTCACTTATGGCCTTATTTGGCCCTGTGAATTTCTGAAAAACTAAAACTGCTTAGTTTTAGTCAACAATGCATTAAATATCACTAAGATCTTTGGTGATTGTGTATCTATCAAAAATGACGTAATTTTCTGGCTATTCAATGCATTATAAAGCACAACCTCTGATCTAAAAAATGCAACTAGTAAATGATAGAACTGTTTTTGAGGATTAAAAAACATGTTTTATTTTTTAGATCAGAGAGTGCACTCATATTATTTTTCTCTTTACTGAAAGTACTCAAATATACCCGTTTAACTTAAAATTCAGGAACATTGCAATTTTATAAAGCGATTTCTCCAAGACCTGGACTTTAAGGAGAAAATTTTTAAAAGGAAATGAAAGCACAAAGTCTCTATTTTATTTTGATGCTTCAAATGGAACATCAAGTGTTAATCAATCAATTGGTATATTTACAGGGCCATTTTATGCATGAAGTGAACCGAGCTCTTTGAGGAAGCATTAAATCTCTTATGTGTGTCCTTCTGTTAATAGCGGTCACAACAACACAGGCCCCCATGACATTAACATTTTACCTAACTTTCTACCAATTTATCTATGGTCATAACTTAATTTTGAATGGAAAAAAAATATGGCTTTTTTTTTATTTGAGCATTATATGTATCAAGACCTTTCAAAATGTGCAAATGTAAAATTAATGAGAAGCCTTTTTTTTTTTACCTAAACATATAATAATATTTTATAAACCTAGATTTAGATGTTTTTTAATTTCATGATTTTTTTTGGTAAAAAAGTTTTAAACTTCTTGATATCAATTTCAATGATTCCTTGCTTGTTTAGAATCCATAAATCTATCAACCCAAATAATCCACTTTACAGTTTTAAAAGTTATAACAACATTTTTTCTTAGTTATTGGCAGGTTGGGGCATTTTCAGATAAAGCATATGTTCTATTTACATATATACAAATTTTCTTTTCTTGTGCATGATCTTGGAACTCATCTACATGAAGTCAGAAAGAGCTTACATTTATATCCACAATGATCGCTTTTGCAATTAATAACTACCGATATATCAAACAGGTCCATTTCTTTGAAATTAATGCATGCTAATATACAGTATGTAGCTATAAATCAGAATCAACATCTGGACAAGTTATAAATTTTAGAGGAAATCCAATTTGACTGTAAGGCATACATTAGACACTATTGCATGGATAATGTTTTTAAACACACAAAAGTATTCTTCTGTTATTGTCTCATTAAGCATGATGTATCATTATAAATGTGCATCAAAGGGATAATAAAATGAAAAATGTCTAACTTAGGATAGAGAAGCTGATATGCATTCTAAAAAGGGATGAGTTGTATGTCAAGGAAAGTTCGTTGACACTGATTCAGATTAAGATATTTTTTAAGTGCAAGGTCTTGGTATTTTAAGGATGTATATTCTTCTTATATTTCATCCATGAAACTTTAACAGATTTTCATAAAATTGCCACTAAGTTATAGTTTCAAGCAAATTGAATTTAACCATGCACTTGATTTAAGTAGCAAGGACAAGTCAAAATCATAATTCTTTTCCTCATTATAAAGGATAAAATATCACTATTACCAATTATGTGATGCCTTCTTTTATTATTTTTTTTTTTATTAAATTCAACTACATGCAGGCACTGGGTATTTATTTAGAGTTTACTGTGTGAAATGAAAACTAAGTTGCCATTAATCTATGTATTCCAATCCTATTTTAATTTCTTTTTGAGGAATCATTTTTCAGATGTTTACTAATTATATTCATGAGAAAAGAAATAACCTATAGAGTTTATTGTAGGAAGGTCCCATGGCCCACTCAGGCAGCATTATAGCAGCAGGGTTTGGGAGGGGAAGGATCAACCTCTGCAATGGAAAGACCTTTAGTGTAAGGGATTCTAAACAAATCATAAATAAATGAGGAATGTTTATTTATTTATTAATTAACTTTTATCAATGAATTATTAAGAACATTTTTATGAAAGAAATTGCTACTTATATTGTTTATGCAGTAAATAACAGGTATATGACTTTGTTTAACAGTTCTATTCAGTGTTTCGTAATGATCATGAGATCCGAGATTTTGTGGCTGGGGGCGCAGCATCAGGGGTATCCTCAGCCTTCGGTGCCCCGATCGGGGGAACACTCTTCAGTCTAGAGGAAGCCGCCAGCTTTTGGAATCAAGACCTTACATGGAGAGTTGTAAGTCAGCCCTTCAGCGTGCTTGTAATCAACAGCTCATTTTTAGCTCACCTGAGCCGAAGGCTCAAGTGAGCTTTTCTGATCACATTTCGTGCCGGGGGCGCAGCATCAGGGGATATCAAGAAAAGACAAAAATAGGGTTGGGTCTCAGAACCACTGGGCCAGTCGAAACTTATGTGGAAGCCCCTAAATTGTTCAAATCATGACCCCCAGGGGTATACAATGGGGAATCAAAGTTTTACATAGAAATATATAGGAAAAATCTTTTAAAATCTTCTTCTCAAGAACCACTGAGCCAGAAAAGCTGAAACTTATGTGGAAGCATGCTGGGGTAGTGTAGATTCTAAATTTTACAAATCATGACCCCTGGGGGTTGGGCGGGGCCACAATGGAAAATCAAAGTTTTACATAGAAATATAAAGGAAAAATTTTGAAAATCTTCTTTTCAAGAACCACTGGGTCAGAAAAGCTGAAACTTATGTGGAAGCATCCTGGGGTAGTGTAGATTCTAAATTGTTCAAATCATGACCCCCGGGGCTTGGGCGGGGCCACAATTGGGAATTAAAGTTTAACAAAGAAATATAAAGGAAAAATCTTTGAAAATCTTCTCAAGAACCACTGGGCCAGAAAAGCTGAAACTTATTTTGAAGCATCCTGGGGTAGTGTAGATTCTAAATTGCCCATTTTCTTACAAGGAATATGAAAGTTTTACATCTTTGAAAATCTTCCTTTCAAGAACCACTCTGAAATTATTGGAAACATCCTAGGATAGTGTGGATTCTAAATTGTTCAAATCATGACCCCGGGGGTTGGGCGGGGCCACATTCAGGAATCAAAGTTTTACATAGAAATATAAAGGAAAAATCTTTAAAAATCTTCTTCTCAAGAACCACTGGGCCAGTAAAGCTGAAACTTATGTTGGAGCATCCTGGGGTAGTGTAGATTCTAAATTGTGCAAATCATGACCCCCGGGGTAGGGCGGGGCCACAATGGGGAATCAATGTTTTACATAGAAATATATAGGAAAAATCTTTTAAAATCTTTTTCTCAAGAACCATGGGACAGAAAATTCTGAAACTTATGTTGAAGCATCCTGGTATTTTGTAGATTCTAAATTGTTCAAATCATGACCCCCAGGGGTTGGGCGGGGCCACAATAGGGAATCCAAGTTTTACATAGAAATATACAGAATAAATCTTTGAAAATCTCCTTCTCAAGAACTGCAGGGTCAGAAGAGCTGAAACTTATGTGGAATTGGGCGGGGCCACAATAAGGAATCAATGTTTTACATAGAAATATATGAAAAAATCTTTAATCGAGAACCACTGGGCCAGAAAAACTGAAACTTATGTGGAAGCATACTGGGGTAGTGTAGAATTCAAATTGTTTAAATTATGACAATATGTATTACAAGGGGGAAATCTGGTAAAGAACGGAATGGCCAAAGATTCTCATTTTTACTTGATATGAAAAATTCATGATTTAGGTCTATAACTATTGTACAGTTGATCCATTCCAATTTATAAATGCACCTGTTTACAAGATGCAGGTTCATTATGCTAGATATTTTCTTTATTGACAATAAGCATGCAATGGATATTGAATTATGAAATTGATTACATATAATTTATGACAGTAGAAGCATTGTCTCTATTTTACAGTTTTTCTCCTCCATGATAGCTTGTTTTGCTACAAACTTTCTTATCAGTGCCATAAACGGAGATCCAACAAAGTTAACAGACCCAGGCTTGGTCCGATTCAATGCTTTTAAGTTTGTAAGTCTAGAGTACATATATAATTGTAGTGTATAAAAAATTACATTGTAAAAGCAAATGTTTTTACCATCCTGACAGGGATTCTGACAAAGTGTGCATGAATCTCATTTTTATAAGTGTTAAATTTTTCTGTGTAATATGAAACATACTTCTTTTTCTCATTTTAGGATTTAAAGTTTGACTTGATTGAAATTCCAGTCTTTATATTCATGGCAGTGATAGGTAATTGAATAATGATTTAGGCGTACACTATAAACAATTCAAAAGTATTAAATTTCAGTCTTTACCATTTTGGTGCACTTGTTCAAGTATTGGTATCTGTATTATCTTTGATCAATGCATCATTGCTTCTTGGTATTGACTAAAAAATGCATTTTAAAGTTGTTAAACGGGTCTTAATATTATGTATATATGCATTGTTAACTCTTCAGTGCAGAGTAAATATGATTTGTATTCATGATGCTCAGTTCAATATTATCAAAGTAAATATTTATGTCTTAAGGTCTTTTTTTCACTCGTAACACAATTGTGTATTTGACAGGTGGGTTAACTGGTGCTCTCTTTGTTGTGATGAATTATAAACTCACAGTTTTCCGAAAAAGGTATGTATCAAATTGTATTATCATTTTATTATTTCATGAATGAGTTTTATAGCTGTATTTCTGCACAGCTTTTGAAAGTGCAATGAAATAATAGAGGACTCTATCATGTCAATGCTTTAAAAAGTAGTTTAGTAAGTCAATCTTGCTTTTTATGCATCAAAATTTTTATTTAATCAAAGGTAAATAAATTTTAACACTATTTTACTTTTTCTACAGTTGCTATTAAATTGCTTTTTTATTCGCCCTTGGTGAATAGTCTTTGAAACTATATAATGCTGCATGAATTTTCCCGTAGTGATTTTGTGGGTCTAGGTTTTGCTTTAGTATAATAAAACATCTAATTACTGCCTGGCTGGACAAAAGCAGATTTATTGTGTCTATTGATAGAATTTCCCCCCTCCCTGACCATCAGGTAATAACTAACCATCTTGGGGGACAATAAACCTGATATTGGTCCTAATAATGGTGATCAATATGTATATATATTGATTCCACTTTGGTGTTTCATAGATGTAATCAAAAGATTTATTACAGAAAACTGAATGGAAGTTGTTTGTGCAATCAATAAACTGAAATATATATGTTTGGCACAATTAAGTTCTGCTTATTCCTGTCATATAAATTTTATCATCTTTTCATGTACACATTTTCAAGTGTTAAGGACAAAACACATGTCACAGCTATTGTTGCTATCATTGAACTGCAAAGCAATTTCTAGGTTGTCTATTAAGACAATTTCTTAATTTGGAATCTTTTCCTTCCCATGCCTTTGTGTATTGTGAGTTCACTTATTGGCTGATGGTGTGTGTCCCCATACTTTGCCTGTTTTGACTTTACTTATTGACTGATGATGTGTGTCCCCATACTTTTCCTGTTATGAGTTTACTTATTGACTGATGGTGTGTGTCCCCATACTTTGTCTGTTATGAGTTTACTTATTGGCTGATGGTGTGTGACCCCATACTTTGTCTGTTATGAGTTTACTTATTGGCTGATGGTATGTGACCCCATACTTTGCCTGTTATGAGTTTACCTATTGGCTTATGGTGTGTGTCCCCATACTTTGTCTGTTATGAGTTTACTTATTGGCTGCTGATGTGTGACCCCATACTTTGTCTGTTATGAGTTTGCTTATTGGCTGCTGATGTGTGACCCCATACTTTGTCTGTTATGAGTTTACTTATTGGCTGATGGTGAGTGTCCCCATACTTTGTCTGTTATTAGTTTACTTATTGGCTGCTGATGTGTGACCCCATACTTTGTCTGTTATGAGTTTATTTATTGGCTGATGGTGTGTAGCTGATGGTGTGCGTCCCCACACTTTGTCTGTTATGAGTTTACTTATTGGCTGTTTAGTTTATAAGCTAATTCCTGTGTTTTACAGATATCTGGACAAGAAATGGATAAAGATAGTCGAGGCTGGGCTAGTGGCAGTGGTATCTGCTGCAGTAGCCTTCGGGTTGATGGTTGGAGTCAACGAATGTACAGACAAAGCCCCATTTGACAGCCATGCTGTCACAGCTTCCGTAAGTGGTACTCTATAAGATGTGCAGACAATTTACTAATAAAACTACTCTGATTCACTAGCAGAAATATTTAAAGATGACACATTGTATTGTCTTTTTGGGAATAATGCAAACTGATTAAGTATGAAATATGATACAAGTTTGTTATTTTCAGGTGTATTGTTCAGATAAGAGTCATAACAGTTTATCCACGCTATTTCTTACAACACCGGAAGGTTGTCTGAAGGCACTGCTTCACGATCCATTTGGTAAGATAAATATACACCTCACCCACCCACCTAAACAAAGGGAGAGGTTTTTTTTAAGTTGCAAGAACTTGTAACCAATCCCATTGAATAAATTATACAATAGAATATGTTCAAAACAAAACAAAGTCTATTTTGTGTTTCTATGACTTAGAATGAATTCAGGGTCATTGTCATTTTCAGAAATTTCTCCTTGGAGGAGAATTATAAGTTTATATTAAACTTTTAAAAAAAATGTTTTTGTTCTAAGAATGTGCCTTGAACTTGATTCAAGATCACTTTAACTTTCAAGATCTGGCATTAAATATAAAAGAAACATGAGTACATGCAAGTAATTTCAGCTGCAAGAAAGTTACAAATCTTATCCAGAAAATTATTTCAAACTGTCAAGAGATAAGTATTCAGCCTTTTGTTGAACTCATACATGTAAATCTCAAGTTAGAAAATTAGTAAAATATGTTCATTCAATCTCATGATTCCTTATTAATTAAGATATATTGTACCTAAAGGATTGTTTACCTTGATTTTCAAAGAAGCCCAGTTGATACATGTAAATATTTCTAGTAGAGAGCCATGGCTTGAGATACCCTGTGTATATTTCTTGTAGAGATGCACGGTCCGGTCAGTTTGGTGGCCTTTATCCTGGTCTTCTTCTTACTGGGGGTCTGGACCTATGGCCTGAGTGTGTCCAGTGGTGTCTTTATCCCCTGTCTGGCTATCGGCGCCGCCTGGGGGAGACTGGTCGGTATAGGGGTGGCCAACATGATGCCAGAAAATCCCAACCTGGTAAGTACAGATGTCTCTGGCTTAGCTGACAGTTTGAATGCAGCACTTTCATGACTTTGAGGTGTTTTCTCTTTGTGGGATGGCTTGTCCACCTTTCATTCAAAATACAGAGTTCTCAAGATATATCTTGCATATGAAGATATCAGTATAATTGTAAATATAAAGTTAGAAGGGATATCAAGGTTACATGGATGATTTTCTGATCATGTACCAAGTACTCACATCTTTATTGAGATTATTAACCTATATTAAACCCTATCAATGTCTACTCTTGTGCTGTAATTACGTAAAATTTGATTAGCATTTAGAGAATAGATTAAAGGAACAAATGTTTTTTCGTACTGATAATTTATTTAATATGTCGGCTGTTTCCCCTGTATTTTCCCCTTAATTTACCGGTATTTGGCGCAGGTGACTATATACATATTTTGAATCTTTATTAATTTGTAAAAATATATTTTTTTTAACCTTTAAAGTGGAAATTGAGTCACATTTTTATGTAACTCCAATTTCACCGTAACTAAATAAAGATAATAAACCATTAATAAATGATCTTTGTGGAAAATAAATCATCAAAGTTTTCTAAAAATTAGAAATTTAAAGAGAGGAGAATGATTTTATAGCTGGTAATGGGTCAAATATAGCATACACAGTATACTGGTGTAGATGCATGTCGCTCATCACTGTATATACAAGGACAGTGAATACATTTAAGCTACATTTTATGATGAGTTATTCAGTTATTTGGGTACTTTTTGAAATTTGTAAAATTTCTAAAATTTCTACCTCCAACCTCAAATTATTTAGCGAGTATTTGCTTAAAAAAATTATTTAGGATCTTTACTAGTTTTAACGGAAGTGTGCTTTGAGGCACATTTTCAATTCTAATACACTGTATATAGATGATACACATACATCTTATCTAATCTTTAGCTTTTTTTACTTAAAAGAATTCATGCATAATAATGATTTTTTTTTCCTATTGCTTATCCCTGATATTGCAAAATTTTCATATTTCAAAACTGAATCTGCACATGATCGAATTAAAGTTAAGTTATTTAATATGAACTGTGAAAACATAGAATTTTTAAAATGACCTCTCTTAATTTGAAGACATTTTTAGCAAAAGAAGACTTCATTTTGAAAATCTAGAATATATCATTCATCAAATGATCCCTAAATCATACTTTTTTTTTACCAAAAATATATGATTTTGTGATCTGTAAGATCCTGTGTCAGATATTTTGTGGTTACTAGAAGACTGCTACTACTGTTTCTGTATTTTTCTGTATCATTTGCTATTGGTGACTCTTTACATACTTCGTATAACAGTAAAGGCGCTATTTCTGTTAGAAATATGATAGGATTGAATGCCACTGACTTTATCCCCTCTACCCAGATTTCTTGTCAGCAGGGAAGGCCATCTTTAAAGAAATGTTTGTTTGCCATCTCCCAAACAACTACTGTGAAATCACTCATTTTCGAGGGGGTTTAATTTTCGTGGTTTTCAAAGTATGAAGGGACCCATGAATTTATGTTGACCATGAAATGAAATTTTTCACATATATTACTACTGAACAATTCTCCAACCATGAAATCAAATCCCCATGAACTATTATATTTTCTCCAAACCACAAAAATTGACCCCTCGAAAATGTGATTTTACAGTACATGTACATGTACCTAATAATGGTTCCACTCAAAACATTCTTTTACCACGAGGAAATATTTTTAGCTCACCTGAGCTGAAAGCTCAAGTGAGCTTTTCTGATCACCCGGTGTCCGTCGTCCGTCCGTCCGTCTGTCTGTCCGTCCGTAATGTAAACTTTTCACATTTTCAACTTCTTCTCAAGAACCACTGGGCCAATTTTAACCAAACTTGGTACAAAGCATCCTTGGGTGAAGGGGAATTTAAATTGTTAAAATCAAGGGCCAAGACCCCTTCCAAGGGGAGATAATCAAGAAAATACGAAAATAATTAAAAAATCTTCTTCTCAAGAACCACTGGGCCAGAAAAGCTGAAATTTATGTGGAAGCATCCTGGGGTAGTGTAGATATTAAATTGTTAAAATTCTAGGGCGGGGCCACAATAGGGAATCCAAGTTTTACATAGAAATATATAGAACAAATCTTTAAAAATCTTCTTCTCAAGAACCACTGGGCCAGGAAAGCTGAAACTTATGTGGAAGCATCCTTGGGTAGTGTAGATATTAAATTGTAAAAAATCCAAGTTTAACATAGAAATATATAGAACAAATCTTTAAAAATCTTCTTCTCAAGAACCACTGGGCCAGGAAAGCTGAAACTTATGTGGGAGCATCCTTGGGTAGTGTAGATATTATATTGTTAAAATCATGACCCCCGGGGGTAGGGCGGGGCCACAATAGGGAATCCAAGTTTAACCTAGAAATATATAGAATAAATCTTTAAAAATTCAAGAACCACTTGGCCCCCATCCTTGGGTACATATTAACCATTGTAAAATTTTACAATAGAATCCAAATTTTACATAGAAATATATAGAACAAATCTTTTAAAAATCTTCTTTTCAAGAACCACTAGGCCAGGAAAGCTGAAACTTATGTGGAAGCAATGTAAATATTAAATTGTTAAAATCATGACCCCCCGGGGTAGGGCGGGGCCACAATAGGGAATCCAAGTTTTACATAGAAATATATAGAACAAATCTTTAAAAATCTTTTTCAAGAACCACTGGGCCAGGAAAGCTGAAACTTATGTGGAAATAGTTTTTAAATTGTTAATATCATGACTCCCGGTGGTAGGGCATGGCTACAATAGGGAATGCAAGTTTTACATAGAAATATATAGAAAAATCTTTAAAAATCTTCTCCTCAAGAACCACTGGGACAGGAAGGCTGAAACTTATATGGAAGCATCATGGGTAGTGTAGATATTAAATTGTTAAAATCAATAGGGCGGGGCCACAATAGAATCCAAGTTTTACATAGAGTTTATTGAACAAATCTTTTAAAATCTTCTTTTCAAGAACCACTTGGCCAGGAAAGCTGAAACTTATGTGGAAGCATCCTTGAGTAGTGTAGATTTTTAAATTGTTAAAATCATGACCCTCGGGCATAGGGCGGGGCCACAATGGGGAATCCAAGTTTTACATAGAAATATATATAGAACAAATCTTTTAAAAAGATCTGCATCACCCAAGTTACTCAGGTGAGCGATGTGGCCCATGGGCCTCTTGTTTTTTTAATTCTTTTTATTCCTTGATTTTCTCATACTATCAATAAGAATGTAGAAATTTTCTAGGGAGAATAATTTCCCCACCTACATATTAACCATTTGTTTTTAAAAACCTGGACTCCGGAGAGAGCAATTTAACAAATATTTTAAAGATGGCCTGAATGTAAGACTATGTGCAACCAACAGAAAAAAATTAGATTAGCATTCCACTCCCAATCAGATCATTTTTACTGGTTAGTGAATACATAGCTGCTCAAACAATTCGGTGATGTAAATTTATCTTGAAAAAGCCATTCAATTTTTTTTCCTGGTAACAAGATACTTAACTTGGGAAGCAGTTAATAAATCTTCAAGTATATGGGAGAAAAAATTATGAATGCTTGATACTGGAATATTAAAGCATGATATAGACTGGACAAGTACAGGAAACTAATGATGTAGAACTGTTTTATACTCCTGCCTTAAAAAGTAACAATGTTTATAATTCTAAATACTATAGAGGTTTATCTTAACGATGGCCAGATATTTAATAGATTAAACAAAACTTGTATAATGATTTACAAAACATAATAACTCTAGTTACTATACACATAAGGCTGCCAATAGCTCACTGATTAAGGTAAGAAAATACATGTTATGTGTGAGTTTTCTGCTTTGTTCATTTTCTGTTTGAATCAAAAGTACATGTAAAAATAAAACTATTATGCAAGTGGAAAATGCACAAGGAGAAAAACTTCTACATACTAAATAACACTAAAACTGGTTGCAAAAGTGTAAATGTTGCTTGACCATGATCAATAAAATGGCTGATTGTTTTTTGGGTTTTTTTTTTGCATGAAACTTGCTTATATATATAGTTACTAATTCTTCATTGAAAAAAATGGATGTTAAACAATATTAGCTAAACCAGTTAATGTTAGAAAGCAAAACAACTAATACTTTTACTTGGTGGATAAGTTAACCAAAAAAACTTGTTTAAGAGAATGATAGGTATATCTAGGGGGAGTTTATCAACCATGGTTTGTGTAATTGTGTGTATGTGCTTCTAGAACAATGTCATAAGCCCAATGGAAAAAGAAATGCTGTTTCTTGTTTCAGAAATGCTACCCTGTTTAAATGCATTGCTTTAATATATTGATGCCATCGTCTATATAGTGTTAGAATACCTTCTCCTCAAATTGGTACACTTGCTGCCAATATATTTGTTGTCTGCAGAATTAACTCCTAAAGATTATTCTGTATATTTATATCTCTTTCATCTGCGTATAGGTAAGTATATAATCTGCCTGAGTCTTTTTCATTATTACATTAAATGTGGTGTACATTTTTTAATTAAGTTGATTTTATTAGTTTATCCTGGAGAAGTTGAGATACCTTAGTTCAGTTATTTTTATTTTATTTTTATTTTGCAGTTATTCTATTAATAGTTTTGGGGAAATAAACTGAGGGTTTAAAAGGAATCACTTTTAGAAAGAATTAAATGCATTTATAGTTTTGATGTATACAATGTACATGTAAGATACTTTATTAGCAGCATGTAATGCACTTGGAAATTGCATTTATTTCAAATCTCACTTCATAATCTTCATGTATGTCTTTTTCTTAAGTAGTTCCAAATTCTTCAAAATGTATTTATAACATATGATTTACTCCAATTAAGTTATTTTGTATTAAATTATCAAAGTTTTAAAAGTATTAAAAACATATAATTATTTTTTTTAAATGCCTGCAATTTTGTAGTTTTATAAACAACTGATTTTTTTGTAGTTGTTATATTATGCAGAGACATGAATCAATTTTAGTTGTTCAAAATCTCTTGTGTTTTTGAATTAACATCCATTCTACATGTTCTATTTTTTTTTCTTACAATAGCAACTAGATGTGGGTAAGTTTGCCCTGATTGGTGCGGCCTGTCAGTTGGGCGGGATCCTGAGAACTACCATCAGTCTGACCGTCATTATCGTCGAGTGTACGGACGATATTTCATTTGGACTGCCCATCATGATTGTCCTCATGATTTCTAAGTGGGTTGGAGATTTCATCACCACTGTAAGTGATCGATAGAAATTTTTTTTTAATCTCTTGCCTCTTTAATGAGGATTAAACCATATTCAAAATACAATAATGTACACTAAATAATAAGTTCTGTGTATTGTTTTGATTTTATGAATTACATGTACTCCATTATCATGTAATGATATTTTCCATTTGCCAAGTTAAAGCACATGCCCAACAAACTTTATGGAGATCCATTTTAACATGGTTAATATGACATGTTGTCAATTTATTCTATATAGAAAATAATTCTGTGAAATCAAAACTTCTGTTCAGTTCACAGAAAAAAATGTTTCAGCATACATAGATAGCATTAATGCCGGTAAATTCCATGTGGAAACAGTATATGTTTTTTTTTGAATGGCAGGGTTTGTATGACATGAACGTTGAGGTGATGGGTCTCCCTACTCTACCGTTTGAGTGTCCGCCCCTGTGTGACGACCTCAGAGCAAGGTAAATTATTACTGGAGATATAAACTGTGAAATTTATAGCTATAAGTATTAAAATTAAGTCCTTGAAATTATCTTAGTTTGTGTAAATAAAATGAAATATATGCCACCTAATTTTTAGCTCTACTGGTCAGAGACCAGAAGAGCTTATGCGATAGTAATGCGTCCGTCGTCCGTCCGTCTGTCTGTCCGTCTGTCTGTCTGTCTGTAAACAATTTTTCAAAATGCTACTCCTCCTACAGTTTTGGTCCGATTTCAATATAACTTGGCACACAAGTAGACTACACTAAGATACATAATTCTGTGCATCGGTTTCTGATTTGGATGAACGGTGTTGCCGTGGTTACTAAAAATAGAAATTTCTGTGAAATACTTTCAAAATGCTACTCCTCCTACAGTTTTGGTCCGATTTCAGTATAACTTGGCACACAAGTAGATTACACTAAGATACATAATTCTGTGCATCGGTTTTTGATTTCGATGAACAGTGTTGCCGTGGTTACTATAAATAGAAATTTCTGTGAAATTCTTTCAAAATGCTACTCCTCCTACAGTTTTGGTCCGATTTCAATATAACTTGGCACACAAGTAGACTACACTAAGATACATAATTCTGTGCATCGGTTTTTGATTTCGATGAACGGTGTTGCCGTGGTTACTAGAAATAGAAATTTCTGTGAAATTCTTTCAAAATGCAACTCCTCCTACAGTTTTGATCCGATTTCAATATAACTTGGCACACAAGTAGACTACACTAAGATACATAATTCTTTGCATCGGTTTTTGATTTCGATGAACGGTGTTGCCATGGTTACTAAAAATAAAAATTTCTGTGAAATTCTTTCGAAATGCTACTCCTCCTACAGTTTTAATTCGATTTCAATATAACTTGGCACACAAGTTGACTACACTAAGATACATAATTCTGTGCATCCATTTTTTATTTCAATGAACGGTGTTGCCATGGTAACTAAAAATAGAAGTTTCTGAGAAATTCTTTTAAAATGCTTCTCCAACAGTTTTGGTCCGATTACAATATAATTTGGGACACAAGTAGACTATACTAAGATACATAATTCTGTGCATCAGTTTTTATTTTGATGAGTGGCAAGGATCATTTTTAGCTCTACTGGTCAGAGACCAGAAGAGCTTATGCGATAGTAATGTGTCCGTCGTCCGTCCGTCCGTCTGTCTGTCTGTCCGTCTGTCTGTAAACAATTTTTCAAATGCTACTCCTCCTACAGTTTTGGTCTGATTTCAATATTACTTGGCACACAAGTAGACTACACTAAGATACATGAAATAGTGCATCGGTTTTTGATTTCGATGAACGGTGTTGCCATGGTTACCAAAAATAGAATTTTCTGTGAAATTCCTTTAAAACGCTACTCCTCCTACAGTTCTGATTTGATTTCAGTATTACTTGGCACACAAGTAGACTACACTAAGATACATAAAATAGTGCATCGGTTTTTGATTTCGATGAACGGTGTTGCCGTGGTTACTAAATATAGAATTTTCTTTGAAATTCCTTTAAAACACTACTCCTCCTACAGTTTTGATTTGATTTCAATATTACTTGGCACACAAGTAGACTACACTAAGATACATAAAGTAGTGCATCGGTTTTTGATTTTGGTGAACGGTGTTGCCATGGTTACGAAAAATAGAATTTTCTTTGAAATTCCTTTAAAACGCTACTCCTCCTACAGTTTTGTTCTGATTTCAATATAACTTGGCACACAAGTAGACTACACTAAGATACATAATTCTGTATATTTGTTTTTGATTTCGATGAACGGTGTTGCAGTGGTTACTAAAAATAGAATTTTCTTTGAAATTCCTTTAAAACGCTACTCCTCCTACAGTTCTGATTTGATTTCAATATTACTTGGCACACAAGTAGACTACACTATTAAGATACATAAAATAGTGCATCGGTTTTTGATTTCGATGAACGGTGTTGCCATGGTTACTAAAAATAGAATTTTCTTTGAAATTCCTTTAAAACTCTACTCCTCCTACAGTTTTGATTTGATTTCAATATTACTTGGCACACAAGTAGACTACACTAAGATACTTAAAATAGTGCATCGGTTTTTGATTTCGGTGAACAGTGTTGCCATGGTTACTAAAAATAGAATTTTCTTTGAAATTCCTTTAAAACGCTACTCCTCCTACAGTTTTGGTCTGATTTCAATATTACTTGGCACACAAGTAGACTACACTAAGATACATAAAATAGTGCATAGGTTTTTGATTTCGATGAACAGTGTTGCCATGGTTACTAAAAATAGAATTTTCTTTGAAATTCCTTTAAAACGCTAGTCATCCTACAGTTTTGGTCTGATGGCAATTGCTTCTTTTCTCATCCTTTGTTATAAGTACAAACCAGTAGAGCTACAGTCTCGACAGAGACTTCTGGTTGTTAGTACCAAGATCATCTGATGATTTTGGTATGCATTATTTATGTGTACACACAATCATTGTAGTGATGTCATGAATGCTCCACTCGCCACTTTTAAAACAAAAGAAAAAGTGGCCAACATTTACAGGATGTTGAAGGAGGAGACATTTTGTGGATTTCCTGTCATTGAAGATGATCCTAGGGTTAATATGATTTATATTCTATCAGATTAATGATCAGTATTTTTATGGTTTATTTGTTACACCAAATGGTAATTTTTATGTATACGTAGTATGATTTTTGGAAAAGTTTCTCAAGACAGGAAAAATATATATTAAAAAATGTTTACCTGGTATGCATAGTTAACTTTGAGCACAATGATTATGACCTTTCATTTTCTAAGTGCATGTGCATTGAATGATTAAAAAAATGGTTTGTGTACAAACAAAAAATGTATCAATTTATTTATTTTCTTCATGACTGTTGTAGTCTCCAGGAAAAGGCAAGCTAAAGGGACTTATTCTTAGGAATCAGCTACTAGTTCTGCTGAAGAAAAAGGTGGGTTTTTCAGGTTACAGTTATAAACCATTTTGATTTATTACAAAGATATGAATTCAGGATTTTTAAAAAAAATATGCTTCAAGGATTGAAATGTATATCAAGGAACAGTACTTCTTCTTTCCATCATGGAAGTAAAGTGTGATTTTGCTTTAAAAAGAATTCTAACATTGATTGCTATCTGTACATTGTCAGATATTCTGTCCAGAAGGCCAGGTACCACCAAGAAACATAACCATCAAAGACTTCCGAGATTTCTATCCTGTGTATCTGAAAGTTTCTGTAAGTGTCCTTAAACCTAGCAATCTTTCTTTTCAAGTTTCAAAGTATTTTTTGTCTTATTTTCATTATACACATGTACATATATATATATATAAAGTATCTTTTATATATGTGAAGTCAGTAACAATGTAATGGTACAAAGTTATTGAAATAACTCTAAAGAACTTCAAAATATGTTAATATGAAATGATTTACGCTCTTATTTTCCTTTCCTAGGAAATAGAGCTATCAGAGGAGGAGATGACATATGTTATGGATCTGAAGCCGTACTATAACCCCTCCCCCTACACTGTGGAGCAGAAATTCTCACTGCCCCGTGTGTTCAACCTATTCAGGGGTCTTGGACTTCGACATCTCATTGTCACAGATGAAAATAATGTGGTAAGTTAAGGAATCTAGCAGTTGGATAGATAATTCCATGCACTTTCTATTGGTACAATAATCCAATGAATTGGGCATGGACAGATTCTGTGAGGATGATGTGGATATTTCATGTTCATGATCTTATTGAAAAAAATTGTGCAAGAAAATTGGCTTCTTTTATTGCATTTTATTGACATGCATTTTTATGTTTGAAAGCATGTAAAATATTTATATTTAACAGCCTGTGGGTATAGTGACAAGAAAAGACTTGGCTAAATTCCGAGTAGGGTCAAAAAGAGGACTTGTGAAAATTGAGCAGCTGAAAATCCAGGACAAGTGAGAGAAACAGTTCCATGACGGGAGTCTCTATGTAGCCATGTAGTGATGAACTGCAAACCTATATCTGACTTAGAGCTAGCTAAATCATGGTACTCTAGTGTTCATTGTTCTCAGGGGAACAGACACACAGATCTCCATACGCTGTGATTCCAGGGGCCGGTGGGGCATTGTCCATCGATCAGGATCTTCAGTTCTTGAAATAATTCTATAGGCTTAGTTTGTGAACAAAGCGATGTGTATTTTATACTACCTTTATCTATGCAATTATGGTGTTAAATTGTTCCTGTGTTTTTGTTATCGATGATTATGTTTTTCTATATTAATGTATTATGACGGCTTTGATGAACTACATTCCATGTTGTATATAGTATACAATTTACAATGTAGTGGGACAGATGCCCTTTTTTACTGCAACAGAGTAATATAATGTTAATTTTGTAATTTGATGCATTCCATAAAGGGTAATTATGACAGAGTACATGTGTATTTTATACTAGGCTGTGTCTGATGTTGAACATTTTTGGGAACTGGTTTCCCCAGAAAATCAAATAATCTACAACAAATATTCAGCAACTGCACTTGCATTGTCAGTGCAGCAAAGAAATTCTGTTTTTCTTGTGGTTGTTTGTTTTACACACTGGGTATTCTATTAATGCCATAGACAGTTTGTGCCAAACATTTTCATGTTTTTACCCAAGATGTAGATTTTTATTTCCCTGTTTTAGGTTGACATTTTATTGAATGAAAAGTTCTGTTTGGTTTTGTCTATTTCCATTATTTGCTTATAACTTTTCATTATTGGTTTAGAAAACCCATTTTAGCCAGAATTTGCAGGTGCTTATACATGTAACTGAATGGAGAAAACTGTACATTATATATAAATATATTATTGATGAAAAATTCGGCAAACATTTTTCAATTCTTCAGCATCAAAGTGTTTTCATCGACATTTGATTTATATCTTAATAATCAGTCAACATTTTCCTATGATGTGAATTTTTATTTACCAATGTGAATGCTTTAGGTTTACGCATAAATGTAGTCATGTGGCAGGGAACTGCGTGTCTATTGTCCAATCCATTATATTGAAGATTTGTTTAGTTTTGGAATACCTAGTCATTCAGTGTTAATTATTTTTAATATTGCAAATGTGGACACATTATGTTTTTCCAATTGATGAATTTTCCATTTTATACCAAGCTGTGATAACCTGTATTGCTGAGTCCCTTTACTGAACAAATTATCTACACAAGTCAATCCTATTTCAGTTGTTTTTTCCCCCTTATTGCTGGTATATTGCAAGAGTGGATATTTTAAAAAAAAAATAGAAAATTGTATCTTAATTACCTGAATTGGTATTTAAATCCATGTTTTTATACTTTAATAGAATTTTAACCAGATACAATATTGTACACTTCTACCAGGGATACCAATAATGATATGCATATTCAGCAGTTGAGAAAATTAAGATGCCCAAACAGCTGTAATTTTTAGTTGGTCAAATCTTAAATTTTACCCAAATTTGTTTTAGTTTTGGATTGATTAACTTCTTCAGAAAATGTATTGGTTAATTAAAAGTGATCCAGAGAATAGAGTTACTTGTGTTTTGAAGGGAATGTTAGTGTCATTATTTTAATGGCCCCCAAGTAAGAGAGTGTAGAAACATTGTTAAGTGTTGTCTGTAAACATGTTCACTAAATGGACCTTTTTAAAATACTTTAATTTTCAATTAAAATGTGCTCAGAAAGCTGGAGAAGGCTGTAAATTTAGACCTATACTTGGCACTTAGAGCCATTGAGGAGCGAGGGATCTTTTTTTTATGTCAACATCTACTGTCACATATGGTCTCATCCAAAGGACCAGTCTGCATGTCCCACAGTGGGATTTGAACCCATGACATAAGGATCAACTTTCTTCTCAAATGCTGTAGCACAGGACATAGTCTTTGTCCTTCATTTGAACAAACTTGAATCCTCTTCAACCAAGAGTGCTTTATTGCATTGGTCCAGTGGTTCTTCAAAAGAAGTCAAAAATGTGAGAAGGTGAAAGATGAACAGACAGATGGATGCCAGGCAGAATATGACAAATTCACTTGAGCTGTCAGCTTAGACAAGCTAATAAAATGACACAAGAGTTTTTAATTTATTATCACTTTTAAGTGTTTAAGTCAGGTAGACTGGTAAATAATAGATGAATAACAAGGCTAATGAGCCACAACACTCACTTCGATAAGGCCCTGCTGTTCTTCAGCAGTATAAACAAAGATTCAGGAGCATGTAGTTTTAGGCTATCTGTCCATGTTTGTTTCTCTAGTTGTATAAAAAGCTTTCACATTCTCATAACTTTTGACAGTTGGTGCTAGGGTTGTCATATTGCACTTTTATTCCTTGTGACTAGACTTTTCTTTGGGTAATATATGACTCTTAACCTTAGAATTTGACCTAATTTTGCAAAAAGTTAACTTATCCAATCATTATCAGCGAACAGTTAAATCTAGGGCTTTTGTATGTCACGTGTATTCCAGAGGCCTGTTCGACACAGTGAGCCCTCGCAAACATTTCTCAGGAGGTATAGGGAATTTTGGCGAGCACTAGCGAACATTCGCTCTGTTGAACAGGCTCAAGTGTCCAGGCCTTTCTTTGAGAACAAATATCTTTGACCTTCAACTTTGACATTTAAGTGATCTACATAAGAACATCCTCGCAATGTGGTCCTGCGTCAGCATGTTGTGGGGCCCCTGGCAAATTTCATCCAGTATTTTGTGGGCTGACTGTTGTAACATCTTCAGGAAAAATTATGAATCTTGATCGTTTTTCTCTCTCAACTAATCACATTGAGCCATTTTATGATAAACAACTTGAAACACATGCAGGTATCAAGCTGATCCTTATCTTATGTGAAAGCTTCAATTTGTTTTGCGATTCTCGGAAAGAAATCCCTAAAATATCGAATGAAATTTGCTGGGGGTCTCTTGACCAAGGACCCCTGGCATTGGAAGGATGACATTAGAAAAACTTTAACCTTGTCCATATTCTTTTCAACAGTGGGTGCTAATACTTTCATAAATTTGGGTAGACCAACATTTTTTACCTTTCAACCTTGACCTTTGAGTTTAACCCATTTTTGAAAAACTTTAAAACTGCCCATATCTTACAACAGTGAATGCTAGCAAGATCACAGGGTAAAAAAAAGTCAATCCCAAAGAAAGAACATTTCAAATGAAATATACATGTACATGAAATATTGAAACCCTACCACTAACTATTCAGAAGTTTTGCCAAGGTTACATTATTCTAAAGTAGGTCAACTCCAGTTTATGAGCTCAATTATGTCAGTACCCAAGAAAAGTCTGGTCACAAGGAATACACATGGAATATGAGGCCCTTAGCACCAACTGTTCAAAATTTATGGCCAAAATGAAAGCTTATGCAGCCAGATGACCTAACCAAAAATCATATGCCCATGAATCACCAATTTTGGCAGCAAAAAAATAAAGGTTGGTATATTGACCATTCTATGAAAATCATTCTAACTAAGCTAACAATTACAAAAACTAGATCTACAAAAACAAAACAAATACCAGATTCTGATTTGTTCATAATTTCATTTCATCAACTTTTATCAAAAGTACATCAATTTAGATACATTTTCATGTATAAAAAAAGTTAATTATTAATGAAAATAATGCCATCCATTTGCTGGCAGTGACTTCAAAGAAGGCAGTGGTTCATGTGAAATCAAAGGCAGTGGCTCACACAGCTTAACACTGCTTTTTAAAAATACAGTAATGACATATTGACTCACTCTTCCAGATGCATGTTGAACATATGAACAATTCACCTGTATTCTAATGACCTGATTCAAACCTATAATCAACATGCTTAAAATGTTAAATGTGTCAAATTTCATGCTTGATATATGCAAAAATATACAAGTATAAGATTTACAATATTTTTTTAATTGTGAACACACATGTACCTTTCTAACCAAGAAGAATATTAGTGATATACATTGTTGTACATAGCAATTTTATCTGTGTAGTATGAAACATCATTTAACTTCATTGTCTCACGTAAAAATTTAATAAACAAAGTCAGCAATGAAGTCAAAGGCACCACCACCAACACATGCACCTTGTATCTTTACAATACACATGATAAGTAACAATGCAAGAGCAAAAATTCATCAAGTGATGCAAAATCAAAGTACTTTTTAACATCTTTGTTTTACTGCAAAAATAAATCCTTAGTAGAAAACTGATTCAACCCATTAAGGCCTCCTTATTATTAAGCATCAAATATATACATAGAGCAAAAAGAATACAACTTCACTTGAGGTTTTAATCTATGTACAACTGAACACAACTGGTGGACCTTTCCTCTCTTGAAAGAGTGCAACGAATACATTCAATTAAAGAGATAACATTAGCAATATACAATAAGATACACAGTTTTAATTGTACAAATTTACTGCTGATATTGACACAAATATAATTTTTTGTTCATATTTTTATGTTTCATATGCAAACAATTTTAAAAGCAGTGAATACTAGATTATTGATAATATACAAATGTACTAAACGTAAAGCACTGTTTACATCAAAGTTGAGTTGCTGCATATGATGAAGCTGAGTGTATATGATATATACAATATTTCTGTTGGAATTAATCGGGTCACTGACAGAGTCGGATCAGCTTGTTGGTCACGATCAAGAAGTCCTCTTCCTGCAGCTCCTTCAGGGCATCATCAAACATGTCCTTGGTGATAGCCTAAAAAAATACAAGTAAACAAATCAACCACAAAAGCATGTTTGCACGTATAACTTATATTACACATAAAATGGAAGCAGACTATTTCCGTTATTTCTCTGTTAATAACTTGTATCTATAATGACAGCAGGACTGAAGTAATGTATGAAACAATTGGACTGCTAATTTACAAACTTGTTGAACCCCTTTTTCATACAGGCTGTTTTTACGACGCCTTGTTGGAGATATATGAGACCTGAAATCCATAACCTTCGCTTGCATTTAAAGATATATGAACTTCTTCACTAATAGCAGAAACTTGACTCACAAAATCCGAGTTTTCCCTGAATTCCTCGTAGAGTTTTTGGTGTTTGAGTGTGGACACTTTGCCCTTGCCCTGTATGATTTTCTTCAGTGCCTGTGTGATCTCAGCTTTCCTTTTCCTAGCTGCTCCACTTAAGCCTGTAGTCAGGATAGTGACATCTATTTTACCCGTCGATGGATCTACAGCTGCCTGCTTCAGAGCCTCTCTATACAACCTGTTATTATTCAAATACATGTACGTATTTATTTAACCTACAGTGCATGTAATACAATGTATTTTTTAATGTTACAAAATTGCCAATGGTTACATTTATTGAAATGACATGAATTGAATAAATAAACTCCTGAGCAAGTTTTAAGATCTTTCTGATGACCATCAACCATACAAAATGTGTAAAACCCTCAACCTAGTGCATATCAACAAGACTAATTGTCAACTATTTCAAACCTCCTAGCCCCATTACCTTTTTGCTTCCTCCACATCAGCAATCTCTACTGTATCAGAGAGCCTCATCCTGGCATGAGCCTCAGCCAATCGAATCAGGGATTCCAGTTGTCTTGGGTATGCAGAAATTTGACCCCTCCCACTTCCCATCTTCCTCATGTTGACATATGACTCGATCAGGGTTTGTCCGGCTGCTTCACTGATCTTAGGTTGAACATATTTCTTTGCATAAGTCAGGTAATCTTTCAAAATACTCATGTCCTACAAAATAGTGTAAAGAAACAAACTTTTAAAGACACACACAAAAAAAATGCTATTAAAATCTGTAAGACAGTTTAAACAAACTTTTTAGCTTTTACTTTATTTCTCACCAGTTCTTTTACAGAAACCTCAGAAAAAATGAAATCCCATAAAAGAGCAATTTACTCAAATTCATAAAAATGACAATAACATGGCGTGATCAAATCCTCACTTCCTCCAAATTTAGGTATCATGACCTTAATCAGTTGGCGGAGGTGGCAGGGGGTGGGGGTGTCTTTTTTTGGTGGAAAAGGGGGTGCTTATTAATCAGAGTGTTTGTACAAACCAAGTTTTCATCTTCTTCATCTTCATGTGTCTTGAAATACAGGGACACAAGATGTCCTCCTAATTTTCGGTCAAACATTTCATCTTGTGGATCCAAGATCAGGAAAATAAGGTCAAACCTTTGAACATGTAATATCAGAATTAATTCGACATTTTATTTCATAGTTTAACAATTTCTATATATATCCCTTACAATAAATGATTATTATGTACACTTCTTCAATGTTGTAAAATATGCAAGAAATAAAATTTACCTGGAAAGTAAGGTATGTGGTAACTGAATGTTTTCCGTGATCGTTTTGTTTTTGTTCCACTGTGACTCTACAGGATTGGCTGCAGCCAACACGGATGTTCTGGCATTCAAAGAGCAGATAATACCAGCTTTCGCAATGGACAAAGTTTGTTGTTCCTGAAAATTATCATTATACAATAAATATACATGTACATCATCATTTATAAACTTGTCAAACATAATGTGATGCTTATATTGTGAGGTTGAAATTCTAGCTAGAGTTTTGCAGAGCTTTTGACTGACCATGACTTCGTGAAGGACTGATCTTGTACTGTCATTCATTTTGTCAAATTCATCAATACAGCAGATTCCATTGTCACTCAATACCAGAGCTCCCCTGTAAAACGGTCAACATCACCATATCAGATCAAAATGTCATATACATATAATGAACTCCTACTTTTCATACAAATAAGCATGTTTTCTGCATTAAAACTTTTTTTTTCTTCTGGATTACTGACATTCTTGAAGTAAGACTTTTTTAAAAAAATGATTTCTTTAAACTTATATGCAAAACAGTAAAAGTTTAAAACAAATGTACGTTTGTAAGACGAGTTGTCTTGTCTCTGGGTCCTTGGTGATGTAAGCTGTCAGACCCACAGCACTGGATCCTTTCCCCGATGTGTACTGTCCACGGGGAACCAGGTTATAGACATACTGAAGTAACTGGGATTTACTGGTACCTGGGTCTCCACAGAGCAGGATGTTAATCTCAGCTCTGGGAAAAAAGTAAATTCATTAGATATACTTCTGATATTTCATTCTGCCTTGTCAGTGTATAAAGAACAATGTGTCTCAAAACTGAATGCATGTATGTACAATTAAGAACAATCCAAAATTCATCGTAAAAATAAAATTATTGTCTTGCTTAAAAACACCTGATAACAATCTAGCAAAAAAATGGTGATCTTCAATACCTGAATTTTCCACGCCCTGAATGTGAGAAATCTTTTCTGCAGCCTCCAAACAATTGCAACAAAATCCCTTTTTTGATATCTTCATTTTCGTATATACTGGGAGCTAAAATCACAAATTGGAAATTATTTTTGTGAAGAGAAAAAGTAGTACTCAAAACATTAATCAATTTTAACTAAAGCAGAACTCAAAACATTACATCAATTTTAGATAAAAAAAAAAACTTGTAGGAACTTACCAATTGCTCTGGCTAGACGCTCATAAATATCTGGTTTCTTTGAAAGTTCTTTAACTATTTTCAATCTCTCTTCATTAATCAAAGTTTCCTTTCTGAGAAAAAAATTTAACTGCTAACACTGTAACTTATGTATATACTGTTTATAGATCTAGCTTTAACCAAGATGTAATTTACTGAAACTGAATGCTAATTTTAGGGGGAAAAAAACTATATAACGTTAAAAACTAGTCAAACTCCATTTTACTAACCCATCTCCTTCATCATCAACCTCTCTCAATCTCTTTTCATGCACTTTCCTGAAGTGTACTACATCGATGTGCGTTTTATACACGGACTTGACATTCCTCATGCGAGGATTAACCCTGAGGGGCGTGGCTCTGTAGATTCCCGTGACGGTCACCCTGTCTCCGGGCTGAACTTTGTCTACCAGGTCATTGTGAGCATACATCACCACAGTGTGAGGGGTCTGCCCTGGTGGCATATCCTCTGGAATATTTAAAATACAATATAATGCTCTATCAGATCGAAAATTCATTGGAGCTAACAATAATTTTACCACTTTTTTTCTGCAAACAGCATTTGCCATTTTTCACCCCATCATAGTTTATTCAGTATGTAGACAAACTTTGGACCAACTGGGGCCAGAATCCCAATTATAAATTTTAAAAGTGTATAGGAGATAGGGTTGTCACTGCCTATCATGTGTCATACACAATGTATAGGACTTAGACAGGTTTTACATCTCACCTGGCGATTCCTGAAGTTTTATCATTTGTTTGTCAGTAAACTGAGATCGATTGTGAACCAAAGCAAAGGAGTGGTTGGTGTTACAGTTGGTACAGAGCACGGGTTCAGCTATACGCCCCCTGTCAATCTCCACAGAGGCAGTGTTGGCACAGACATAACACTTGAAGAAGGCTTCTCTCATCTCAGGAATTAGGGAACTTGTTCTAATCACCATTCCACCAATTGTAATCAGCTGGTCAATATCTAAATGAATATGGAATTCAACAATCAGAAGAATTGAAAAATGATTTGCTCTTTCATTTTAAAGGAATGGAAGCTTATCTTTGGCAAAGAGGCAATTCACATTTGAATTTTTTTAACCAGAAGTCTCTGTCGAGACTGAAGCTCTACTGGTTTGAACTTATAGCAAAGGAAGAGAAAGTACTTAAGCAGCTGGGATTTAAAACTTTATAAACAGCATTAAATAGAATAATGATCGTTGATAAAGTCTCTTTATGTTCTTAGTGTAGTCTACTTGTGTGCCAAGTTAAATTGAAATCAGACCAAAACTGTAGGAGGAGTAGCATTCTGAAACAATTTTACAGAAATTTCTATTTTTAGTAACCACGGCAACATCATTCATCAAAATCAAAATCCGATATACAGAATTATGTATCTTAGTGTATAGTCTACTTGTGTGCCAAGTTATACTGTAATCAGACCAAAACTGTAGGAGGAGTAGCATTTTGAAAGAATTTCACAGAAATTTCTATTTTTAGTAACCACGGCAACACCGCTCATCGAAATCAAAAACCGATACACAGAATTATGTATCTTATTGTATTCTACTTGTTTGCCAACTTATACTGAAATCAGATCAAAACTGTAGGAGGAGTAGCATTTTGAAAGAATTTCACAGAAATTTCTATTTTTAGTAACCACAGCAACACCAGTCATCGAAATCAAAAACCGTTACACAGAATTATGTACTTTAGTGTAGTCTACTTGTGTGCCAAGTTATACTGAAATCAGACCAAAACTGTAGGAGGAGTAGCATTCTGAAACAATTTTACAGAAATTTCTATTTTTAGTAACCACGGCAACACCGTTCATCGAAATCAAAAACCGATACACAGAATTATGTATCTTAGTGTAGTCTACTTGTGTGCCAAGTTATACTGAAATCAGACCAAAACTGTAGGAGGAGTAGCATTTTGAAAGAATTTCACAGAAATTTCTATTTTTAGTAACCACGGCAACACCGTTCATCGAAATCAAAAATCGATACACAGAATTATGTATCTTAGTGTAGTCTACTTGTGTGCCAAGTTATATTGAAATTAGACCAAAACTGTAGGAGGAGTAGCATTTTGAAAGAATTTCACAGATATTTCTATTTTTAGTAACCATGGCAACACCGTTAATCGAAATCAAAAACCGATACACAGAATTATGTATCTTAGTGCAGTCTACTTGTGTGCCAAGTTATATTGAAATTAGACCAAAACTGTAGGAGGAGTAGCATTTTGAAAAATTGTTTGACGCCGGACGCATTACTATTTTTTTAAAAATCATACAGCCATTCAAGCTAGTAAAACCTACCCTCAGGGTTGAGTGACCTCATGTTCTTGGTGCGATCAGCATTCATTGGTCGAACCTGTATCTGATGTTCCAGAGTTGTGTCAGGGAACTTCTCAAAGAACATTTCATTGACTGCCATATCAAAGGTGGGGATGACTTCCTGGGGGTAATTGACCAGTTGTCTGTACAGGTCGGCATCAAACTCCTTCAGGTGTTCACAATTGATGTTCAGGAACGGTTCTCCAACTAAACTTATCTAACAAGAACAATTCATGCCAGGTTATTCAAATACTTCTTAACATAATATCAAACCTAAATGTACTCTTACTTCAGCCTCTTAGTATATGCACCATTTTGAAAATTGCACAACCCACAGCAAAAAACTTGGCAAGGATCTACCTTTAATTTCCTTTTTAAAATTCAATTCTTATAGGACTTGAATATTTAGCTTTATCATCCTTCAAACTATGAAGAACTGCCCCATGACAATACATGAATTATAGTACTACCTCTTCCAGCCTCTGTAGGTAGTAGGGCTGGGTGATATCCATCCCGTCAAACTGTTCGTCATCTGCTACATTTCGGTCCACATATTTGCAGATGAACCTCTTGAACTTTTCCTTGCAGTGACTGACTACCACATCAGTACCCCATATAACTAGCTGTGGTCCTGCATTGGGGTCACTGCTTATCTCACTTGTAATTCTTGTTGGTTCCTATGAAGAAAAAAATGAAAATATTTATTTTTCACTCTAAATCAAACTTTTTACCTCTAGATTAAGAAAGGAAACTTTTAACATTCAGAATAATTAATTTCAAAATTATGCCATTTACTACAAATCATTGTATCTTAATGCTATTTGAATTAACATATGGTCTTTACCAATATCATATTGTACAAAGAATCTTTGCATCCATCAAGTGTGAAGCTTTCAAACACTGATACTTTTTTATAAACTCTTTCTTTACTCTGCAAGTATTAGATTTTTCTAAAACTCACACTAGGGTCTGAGCCTCCAATGGTAACCTGGCGAATTTTGCGGTCACTTCTAACGTCAGGCCTGGATCGGATGGGGGTGCCAGCAGCTCCTGGGGTCATAGGACCACCTGTTCTTGAACTAGGGGTTCCATAGTTCAAAGGTGAACTGAGGTCAATCTCACTTGTGGGAGCTTGTTAGTACAAACAATTTATGAAATATTTATAAATTTGTGTCGCTCATTTTCAAAAACTAATGAAGGTAAATACTTGGGACTATTTTTTTTCTCAAATAAACATGCATTTCTAAAATGCATTTAAAATATTGTGTTAGATCATACATATACGCATAAAATAACTATTACTTCATGAGCTACGCGTGTAACTTATACCTCCAAGTCTTGACTGTGGGGGGCTTGAGAACAGGGACCTATCCTGATTTACTCCCCCTGATTGTGGTGATGATGGCAGCTGTTCCAGATCACCACCAGGAGAACTATCAATTCGTCGGCCCTTGGATGGAGGGGATGTTGTTTCATCCTGAGAAGTCCGCGTCTTTCTGGCACTGCTTCTTGTTGATGATGCTAAAGAAAAGGAACCAACATATTCTTAAATGCAAAAGAAAGCTTTTGAACACAAAACAGTAAATAAGAAAAGTAGATAAATACTTACGAGTGGAAGCCCCTGATCTTGTTTTTCTTGAAGCTGAAAATAGAAATGAAAGTCCTGTATGCCCTGCTCCGTAAAAATTTTACCACAATTCTCTGACCTACAATTCAACTGTAGCTCTACTGGTTTGAACTTCTTATAAAGGTGCCTTTAAAGAAAGTCTATTTGTGTATCATGTTATGCATGCTGTCCCAAGTTTATCATCTAAATAGTGACTTTCCACCCTCTTATTATCAACAAATTTTCGTTTCGTCGCTACTTTTATCCTCATCTTTACAACTGCGTACACAGTTTTAGTAGCACCCTATATATAGCGTCTATAAAGTATTTAGACAACATGTTATAATTAGCATTGGTGTATTTTTCATGTAAAAAAAAAATTCAATATACAGGTATAGCTGTTGAATGCATATCATTGTATATGGTATGTGCGCTTTTTTAAAGTATTTCACGACAGCTCACAGACTAAATTACAAACTTTTTGGTATGTTATTTATTAAACTCTTGCCTTGAGCAATATAACTTCCAAAAATCTGCTGATAATTTCCATTCATTTTATACTTTAAATAAAAAATCACTTATGAACACACAGGCACTGAACACACTTGGGGATGTTCAATCTTACGTGTAACAGGTTCCTCAGCAGCTGGGGAGCTAGGCTCTTCAGTCCTCCCCCTCTTACTTCTGCGGCGTGGAGTTAAAGGATCAGACATTATCTGTTTGTAATTTAAGAAAAAGATATTCACAATAAATATGCCATAACGTATTTTAGCCAAGTTTTTTTTTTAGATAATGCTAACAGAAGTGCAGGAGTAGAAAATTATTTAATAGACTCAAAACAATAACATCATGTGCGCTATTATGAAAGCGAATACATACACGATTTATTATAGAAGGTACACCAAATTAATTACGTTTGCTGTTTCTTCTTACCAGTTCTTAACGGTCACCAACTTTTCCCGAACAAAGCAAAGAGGAAGGCAATGTTTATGTCACGTGTTCGAAATCCGCGGGAAAAGTGTTTACGACAATGAAGAAGTCATTAAAAGGATAAGATATCCATAATTCTAATGATATATATATCAAACTATATGCAAAACATCTTAATCATTTTGGAAATAATTTTAAGAAGAATAAATCTAAATATTTTACAAGCTACAGTTTCACGACATATCGCCGTTCGACTCCATAACTTCACATCCGGTCAGTGACAGCATGAATTTAAGATGAAACACATGAAAATGCACATGCAGTATCGTTTGTTTGGGATTAGAAATGTGCTTGAAACAATGGCACGATCGGCCGTATCTAAAAATCACGTCAGATTGTTTCACAGTCCAACAGGCGGTGGTGGAGACAATGAGCCACCAAGTGACATTCACTATGTGGGAGCTGACAAGGTTTTAAACGAAATCCCTACAGAAGGAGGACCGCCTGATATTTCAAACAGAGACAAATCACTGGTTGATCCAATTAGTTCACTTCAAAAACACGGACCAGCACGGAAAAAGTTTTATGTGAATAAGAAATTTTCCGTTTTGTTGTTTCCTGGACAAGGGAGTCAGTTTGTGGGAATGGGTAAAAAGTCCTTACACTACCCAGGGGTCAAAGAACTGTATGAACAAGTCAGTGAACATTTCAAGAAAGACATATTGAAATTATGTTTACTTGGTCCAAAAGAGGAACTAGATAAGACGATAAACTGTCAGCCTGCAGTTTTTGTGACATCATTAGCTGCTGTTGAAATGATGAAAGAATTGCATCCAGAAGTATATATTATTTTATTTTTTTTATATCATGATATATTATTAAATAACATAAATGTTTCAGTCCAGTTCAGTATGTTGAATTTATGTGTAAGTAGTGTAATCTTAATATCTTTCTAGGTTTTCCAGAAGCCGACCTACACAGCCGGCTACAGTCTGGGAGAGATCACAGCTTGTGTTTATGCAGGTGTCATGTCCTTGGCTGATGGTAAGCATTTGTAATGATTTCATCAATTAAACATATGTTCTTCCTAAACAGTCTAACTTCTCATTCCTGTAGCACAGATACTTGTGGACAAGACACCCCACTCCCAACCCTCCCCAATATTCAACTCCAGGATACATTGGTCATATCTTCATGAATTATAGAGAGTGCAGCATGTGGTGCAAAACATCATGATAAGCAATGCCTGGGCAAAGAGAGATTTTGATTACAATCAAGTGATTTTTTCCTTCATTTATTAGTAAAATGCATCTCATCACAAACAACATTCTCTCAGTAACAAGACAAACGAGAGATTTATAGGATATTAAGCAGATAAACTGTAGATTACAGGTTTTTGATTAAAATTAGCACTGTTTAACTTTGATTTAGTAATGCAACATACATAGGACGTCATGTGAGGTCAGAGTCTTTACATTGCAGTTAGTGCTTTGAAAAATCCTTAGGTAAACACAACAGAAGTGCATAGAAAATGTATAACATATTATGATAACATCTGAGAGAGATGATTACATCAGGTAATTATGTACAGTTGTGCCTATTTTCTTGAATTTTATAGCTTTGAATATGTTACAAACCCGGGCCTACGCCATGCAGGAAGCTTCAGAGGAAGTCGGGAGTGGAATGATGACTGTAACCATTACCCACAAGTCTAAGCTTGGCTTGGCTAAGGAGGCAGCCATCAAGTACTGTTCTACAGAGTGTGGCATAACTAATCCTGTTGCTCAGACAGCTAGCTACCTCACTCCCTACCATAAAGTGGTGGCTGGCCACAATGAAGTAAGTTGTCTAAACGGCTAGTTACCGCACTCCCTACCATAAAGTGGTGGCTGGTCACAGTGAAGTAAGTACTGGTAGTCCAGATATCCAGCACTTCCTACCATAAAGTGGTGGCTGGTCAAAATGAAGGAAGTAGTCTAGAGAGCTAGCTTCCTCACTCCTTATGTCCAGAGACCTAGCTTCCTCCCTATGTCTAGACAGCTTGCTAACTCACTCCCCCTGCCCCAACAACTAGCTTACTCACTCCCTATGCCTAAACAGCTAGTTATCTCACTCCTTATGCCCAAAGAGCAAGCTATCTCTCTTCCTATTTCCGGAGAGCTAGCTACCTCACTCACTATTGCCCAGAGAGCAAGCTATCTCACTTCCTATTTCCAGACAGCTAGCTACCTCACTCTCTATGCCCAGACAGCTAGTTACATCACACCATATGCCCAGAGAGTTAGCATCCTCACTCCTTCTGCCTAGACAGGTAGTTACCTCACACCCTATGCCCAGAGAGCAAGCTATCTCACTTCCTATGCCCAAAAAGCTAGCTACCTCACTCCCTATTGCCCAGAGAGCTACCTTCCTCACTTAATATGCCAAGAGAGCTAGCTACCCCACTCCCTGTGCTCAGACAGCTAGATGCCTCATTCTCAACACCCAGACACCTTATTACCTCACTCCCTTCCATAAAGTGGTGGCTGGTCATGATGAAGTAAGTAGTCTAGACAGCTAGCTACCTCACTTCCCCTGCCCCAACAGCTAGCTCACTCCCAATGCCTAGACAGCTAGTTACCTCACTCCTTATAGCCCGAGAGCTAGCTACCTCACGCCTTATGCCCTGAGAGCTAGTTACCTCACTCCTTATGTTCAGAGACCTAGCTACCTCACTCCCTATGTCCCGAGAGCTAGCTACCTCACTCCCTATGCCCAGAGAGCTAGCTTCCTCACTCCCTATGTCCAGAGACCTAGCTTCCTCACTCCCTATGTCCAGAGACCTAGCTTCCTCACTCCCTATGCCCAGAGACCTAGCTACCTCACTCCCTATGCCCAGAGAGCTAGCTTCCTCACTCCCTATGCCCAGAGAGCTAGCTTCCTCACTCCCTATGCCCAGAGAGCTAGCTACCTCACTCCCTATGCCCAGAGACCTAGCTTCCTCACTCCCTATGTCCAGAGACCTAGCTACCTCACTCCCTATGCCCAGAGACCTAGCTTCCTCACTCCCTAGTCCAGAGACCTAGCTTCCTCACCCCCTATGCCTAGACAGCTAGTTATCTCACTCCCATAGGTACCATAGTCCAGACAGCTAGCACTCCCTTCCATAAAGTAGTGGCCAGTCAGTTTGAAGTAAGTAGTCTAGAGAGCTAGCTTCCTTATTCCTTGCAGTTCACACTGAAGTTAGTACTTAAGTCAGTTAGGTTCTTCACTCCGTACCATAAAGTAGTGGTCAGTCATAAGATAAGTTGTAGGCTAGATTCCTTACTCCCGACCACAAATGAGTAGTCACAGTGAAGCCCTACCTGCACCAAACTTCGCTATATTCACGGTGTTAATAAATCACGGATGAATAAATTTTGCAGATTTTATCTGGGGATGGACAACGATAGGGCTACATACATGCTTGAAGATGCTGGTCATTGCTGACCGTCATTCAATTAATTTAATTTCCTTAATAAATTCAAATCAGGATAATAACCCGTATTTGTTAAAGGTTTTAATAGCCAACGCTCCTACATGTTTAAATTTCATCAATCAAAACACGTGGGTCAGTACCTGCTAAACCATGTGTATTTGTTACTGCATTATCATGCATGCTGTTTCAGTTGCTGGATTTAACCTACACTTTCCAGACGAGTGATTTTTAGCTATACTCTAATGAAATTAGCCTGGATGATGTATCAAGGGGTGGACACTTTCAGGCTTGTTTGGGATGCTCAATTTGACTTATATTTTCTATATAACTGACTAGGATAATATTTTTGGAGTAGCTGTATAAATATGGCTCGTTATGATCAAACTTTGTTTTCTTGAACTCCTGCTTCAGCACGGATAGTTAGAACTGACCAACATTTTCTTGATCGGTGATCAGGTTTAAGTATTTGGAGTAGGTCCATTTCCAATAAGCCCTACATAAACAAAACATGCATGGATATTGATTTTGTGATGGCTTACTTACATGTATAAACAACATTGGTCAAGGTGAGCTTTGTAAGCTTTGATTACACTTGTTTTCGTATATAGAGAAAAGATTCTGTAATAACATAATGAATATCTGTATTTTAACTCTTTATGACAGGCTTTGGACTTTATTGCTGACACTGCCAGACATTTTGGTTTGAGTGGATGTAAAAGACTTTCAGTTAGTGGAGCATTTCACACAATGTTGATGAAACCAGCAGTTAGTGACATGTATTCAGCTGTCAAAGATGTGACTTTTCAGCTGAAATCAAAACACAGAGTGTTCTACAATTACACTGGGAAACTTCATGACAATCCTTCACAGATAAAGAAGAACTTGTGTGAACAATTGACTCATCCAATCAAATGGGAACAGATAATGCACACAATCTACTCTAGACCCCCAGGGGAGGAGTTCCCTCAGACGTACGAAGTGGGTCCAGGGAGACAACTAGGATATATACTGAGATTGACCAATGAAAAAGCTCACTTTAAAAATTATCATCATATAGACATCTGAATAATAAACTATTAAAAACATCTTTCTCTTGTCTTTGAATTCATCACTACAAAGCAAAGAAGTTCAATATTTTATTTTTACTCATGTTTTAAAAAATGAATTTCATATGATTATGAAGCAACATATAGGTATTTGTACCTATATAATGTATTAAGTCATGTTTTTTTTCCCACAACAAAACCACTGATTTAGTGTCAAGTTTAAGCACTGTTAGCTGGCCTGAGAAGCTTGGAATTCTGACAGATGGCCTGAGTTGCTACTTTCCTTCCAATACTTGTAGTGAGGTCACAGATATGAAGAATGTGTCTGTTGTCTAAAACACCTTGTACACTTCTAAGGAGATTTGACACCTGTAAATTACAAAGATTTCAGTGTGTATGAATGACTCTTTGAATTAAATCTTACTTTTACAGAAAATTATTAAAGATCAAGTATATGAACTCCTTATAAATTGCATGAAACATATACAAAAAAGAATTAAAAGCCAAAAATGCTTCAATTGTGTGAAACATGAAAACAGCTTCAAAAGATACACAAGACTACAAACCATTTGTGGGGGCATAAACTGCAGGATAAACTTGGCATTCTGACTGCCGCAGTTGATGGCTTCTCTAACAAAGCTTATGATAAAACTCAGTCTGGGTGAAATGAGGCTGTCCTGGGATAAAGCATTCATTAACCGCATCAAGTTAGCTGGAAAGAAAAGAGGGGACCAATCACTCCCAGCCTAAATTGTTACATACAGCAATTGTTCTTTGTGAGCGGACACTTGAAATATTTTGCTCACAGATATCTTTAAGATTTTTCCAATAAATACTTTCCCAATATACATATTACAGATACCCTAATATTAGTTAACTTAAAACTTTTACAATATTTAAAGGTAATTAAAATGAAGTGGAGATTACTGGTAGAATTTTATTAATAGATTTGCATTGTTTAAACACCTGTCTTCTCACATCAGGTATAAGGAGGCAATTTCTATACAAAGTTAAAAAAATTTAAGTAAAGCAAACCATTCCAATGCTTACCCAAGGATTTATTCAATGGATCTTTTGCATCAAAAGTTGGGGAAGTTTCTCCATCTTCCTTGGCTGTTAGGAAATCTGTAAACAACCCAATTTTACACTTCAGTGAAGATAAATTTAAAATACAATATCATAATTTGTATAAAGAGATCAAGATATGTCTAAGTTAAAAATTTTAAAGAAGTTATTTGTGTTGTTCATAGTGTTTATGGAAAGAGTTACAATGATTTGCCCCAAGATAAATTCTGAAAAATCATAATTCATTATTTCAAAATATAAGGATTCTATTATTCAAACCAATTAGGAATGTTACCAAAGTTAAATCCCTCCGAATCCAGTGTGAGCTGTGGCTCTAGAGACGAGGACTTGCTTCTCTTTACCGGACGACACTCTGTCTCCTCCATGTCCTGATAACAAACCAAGATTTAAAGGATGATAATAGTGGGGCTGTCTGATAAAACAGGTGCCCCTGAGGTCCCTGGTATTACACAAAGAATTCAAGTTTATTATAAATTATCATATTATTCTACTGTACCTCAAGTTCCACCTCTTTCCGTGACCGCTTTCTACCCCTCCTCAAATGTGGTATTGTGTCTAGAAATATATAATACAAGGGCATAAGTGGAAATGATTTATTCCAGATTGTAATTTACCATTTTATGAAAAGGAATGAATTAAAGAATATCCAATCTATGTAAGTATACAGAGGCTTTATAAAACTGCTTCACAGTTGAAATGCATGTATTGAAGCCTTTAAATACATGCAAGTTTTATTTCTGGCCCTGTGGTTTTCGAAAAGATTTTTAAAAGCTATTAAATTTTCACCAATTCTTAATTATCTCCCCTACGAAGACAGCATGGGTATTCAGTTGAACAAACTTAAGGTATCCGACCCATATTAGGACATAATTTTCTAACGTAAGTATCTATCTTGTATTAAAAACTCTGAAACTAATTCAAAGCAGTTTAGAGTAGAAAAGGATTTACCAGGAGAAATTTTCAAAAATATAATTACCCAAGCAGTAATTAATTAATGAAGAATGCATTGAGGTCTATGGGAACAAGCAAATTATTGAAAACAAAAATTTAAATACTGTGAATATCAAAAAATGCTTTGGTGGAAAGATGTGTACAAATATTTAGAATAGAAAAACGTTTAAAAAATAATTTTTTACCATGTAGATTTTTTTAGAAATGGATTTTATTGATTAAAAGCAAAGAGGGATAACTCTTCCAGAGTTTCCGAAAACCAAATATTTCTATCAGTCATTCGGACTGATGACTTAATGCGTTCTACCAGTCCGAAGCATATTCTATCGGTCCGAATAAATTTTAGAATATACAGTGAATATTTCATGATGTAATTCAAAGAAAATGACATTGAATGTGTAAATTTTTTCATGGTTATCAACACTGATTCAGATTGTGATACAAGGATTATACTATAAAGAATTCAAGCATGGCACCAGCCCACACATTTAAAGTCACTGTGAAACAACTAATATGGCAAAAAAAATGAACAAGCTAATTTCTTAAGGTTATATATAGAATTCTTTTTTAAAATTAAAAGTGGCCTAAATGCACTTGTAAAATGAATTCATATATATAGCAGTTATGATAAAAATTCAGAATAAAAATCAGTTTAAATTAACGTTTTCTCAGTGGTCATTGCACTTCATTATATACTGCATGTGTTAACCATTAACAGAGGAATGGAGGAAATTCAGATTAAAAAAAAACGATCGTTTTTGGAAGTGAATAAGTCAAGTAGAATTGCAAAATAGATAAGAATATGGATATTTACGAAGAATAGGAGCATGCTGCATTGAAAATTTTCATTTATGAAGACATTGCAATAGATCAGAGTACAATAAATTAATCTGGACAAGCCCTCATAACAATCGGTCACACGGACCGGTACTAGAGTGAATTTCATCGGACAATTTTTATCGGTTTTGACACATTCTTCAAGGACACATTCCGCTCTTACATATTGATACTAAAACAGGAAGATTTTGTCTACATCTACTGAGTATTCAGCCAATATTTATCTGTTATGCTTTCAAATTCATTGAATTTGAGGCTATTTAAATGGATACCTTAAATCCATTAAACCATTGTAAGTTTTGTTGAATTTGGCCCAGTGATTCTAAGAAGTCAAAATTTGAAAAACTTACAACAATGACAACAACAGACAAATTTGATCAGAAAAGCTCACTTTAGGCATTAACTCAGGTGAGCTAAATTATATGAAATTTTTAAGGAAAGTTTAACAAAATTAGTTATGTATTAGTAGACAGCATATTTACTGACGGAATATATGTAATGCATAGTTTATGACAATGTGTACAATACAGCCTTACCTTTCTCATCATTCTTTGAGTTCTGTGCGGACACTAGAACCATGACAGATAATTTGGCCAGGATATTTCCCCTGGGGTCAGTGAGGAGAGTGTGGTAGTGTGTGGTCTGGAGGAGGCGTGGCAGGGTGTGGAACAGCAGACTCAGGGTGATGTGTTCCAGGTCCATGTGGAAGATCGCGTACACAAGACTCAGGGCCTTCATCAAGTCCTCCAGACGACTACTCTCCAACATTGCCTGTAATAAGTAATTTTTAAAGTATTCTTTCTCATTTGGGATTCAGTTTTAATTCATAACTAGAACTGTCCAAACGGGACAAAATACCCCCAGCTGGGTTTTTCAGAAGTAAGTTTTTCCTTAATAAAGATATGTATCAAACATGAATAATGAAATTTTTCTTCCAGTGACCTTGAACTTCCCCAAATGACCTTGGGTCAAGGTCATGACACACCCTTGGGTCATGGGCAATATTTGTGTGAAATGAGAACCTACCAAGTTTATCCATAAGAAAGGTATGGACCGGACACAAATTATGAAATTTTTTTTTCCAGTGACCTTGAACTTCTCCAAATGAAATTGGGTCAAGGTCATGACACACCCTTAGGACATGGGCAATCTTTGTATGAAGGGAGAACCTACCAAGTTTATCCATAAGAAAGATATGGACCGGACACGAATTATGAAATTTTTCTTCCAGTGACCTTGATCTTCCCCAAATGACCTTGGATCAAGGTCATGACACACCCTTGGGTCATGGGCAATCTTTGTGTGAAATGAGAACCTACCAAGTTTATCCATAAAAAAAGATATGGACCGGACACAAATTATGAAATTTTTCTTCCAGTGACCTTGAAGTTCCCCAAATGACCTTGGGTCAAGGTCATGACACACCCTTAGGTCATGGGCAATCTTTGTATGGAGTAGTAGATTCTAATGTCCCTCTGTAAGAAAGATATGGACCGGACACGATTGCACAGACAGACGGACAGACGGACAGCTAGACAGACAGACAGCTCGACAGACAGACAGACAGACGGACAAGGTGATTCCTATATACCCCCCCAAACTTTGTTTGCGGGGGGGTATAATAATCAGCAGTGTCAGAAGCTTTGTTTTTATTATTTTTTTAACTACCTCTATACATCTATCACAGAACCAGTCAGATCCACATAAATTCAGGAGATACTCCAAAGTCTGGACAGATTTAATGTCCAACCAACCGCGTCTGAACACACTCTTAATGCATTCATCCATGACCTCACTGGGCAGCTTGTCTGATGGCACATAGTTTGTAAAGTTCACTCTCTGAGGTACTGGCAAGATGTCATTAATCAGTTTCTGAAGAATGGGAGTCATAAGTGCATATCTGTTGGAAAAGAATATGTTGGCATTAAATAAAATTTGTTCTTCAGCTGAATGCTTTATTCTAATGCAGGTATCTGAACATACTTAAACAAAATTTTCTCAAAATTTCATGTGAGGCCTAAATTCAAGACAGCAATATTTTATCCAAAGGGCTCTTGTTTCTCATAGCTGCATTTTCATGGTACACTACACTGACTTTCTTGAACTATGATATTGAGTAATTTTGTATCTTACCTTTCATTGTAATTAAGGTCGGGATCAGGATTCAGAGCAGGTGCTTGTAACATCTGTATCATTTGTAATGGCTTCTCCCGGGCTTTGTCAGGTACAACACTGATATAACTACACAACCAGGCACACAGCACGATAGGAATACAGCACATTCTGTTCTTAATGACCTCAATAATCATCTGTATAAAGAGCACGCCAATAATATTAAACGGGAAAGACCTCTACAAGCTTACAGGTATAATAATAACCCAGTTTCTTATTCTTAAAATTATTTTCCTGATGAAAAACGTTCAGGAATTCTCAGCTTTAATATCTTTTAATTAGTTGGCCAACCTGCTTTTCTGAGATATTTTTGCAACATGACATGAAAAGAGAAAATAAAATAAATACTTTTGACCTTTATTTTGTCTGGAGGAATTGCGCCATGTTCCCAGGCAATCAGAATCTCTTGAAGAGCCAGTGGAAAATTCAAACAATATTCATTGAGTCTTGTAATGCTGAAACAAATACAGTAAAGCATCCTTATAACAAAGTGCCAAGGACAAGCAATTTTGCTTTGTTATAAACATAATTTCATTATATCTATAAACTTCACTATATGAAAACCCAAACCATTGTTTTATGTAAGTGAGAATGAATAAATAAGCAAATATATACATGTATTAATATAAAGAATGTAAAAGAGTAAGGAGATAATCCTACATCAACATAATTTGGGTGCGATTTATATTAAAATCAAAACAAAATTGTACTTTATATTAAGTCTTAGATAACTGATTCTTACTTGAGTTTGTTGATGTCAACACCAGACACGAGATGTTGAATCAGGACGTCTAGTTTACTCTGATCTGTTGCTGTAAAGTTATCGATACACTTGTATTTCCCGTCCTCAGGGAGACACCTGGTGGCCCAGTGGAGGAAAAACGAGTCGGTGTACTCGGGTGATGGGGCTGTGATCTAAATTAGGAGGATAAGCGAGAGAACTTCACATAACTAAATCCATGGCAAAAAATAGTCAATCCCATACTGTTTGTGGGCTTTTATTTTGGATCATTTAAAAATGTTTAATTGATTTGATTCTTGATAAAAATATCTACTATAAATTACACTGTATCATCAATGGAAATGGCTTTCATTTTGTTAAATGATTTTAAAGCTTTAGGCCAAAAAAAATTAATAGTTTCTCAGGCCAAAAAATTCAAAATTCAATGCGGCAGGCAGGCTTTTTTTTTTTTTTTTTTTTTTTGGAAGCAGGTTTTACACCTTTTTTGTAAGTCATTTGTGCAGTAAAATGATAATATCTACTAATTCTTAAGTTTTGTTCTCTGAAATTAGTTATAATATGTATTCAACGTTAAATAATGTTATTCCAAACATTTATTTAAAAGTTAACTGATAAAATACTTTAGATTTAGAAGAAATATATTGTTTTTCTGATAAAAACGTCTTTCTTAGCATTTATAAAAAGGGGAATAACTCGATTTTCTTTTTCCACTTGGAAAAATAGAAAATTGAATTATTTCCCTTTTCAATATGTCAATAAAATTGATCAATGCGGCCGTTTTTGAACTGATGCGGCGGTGCCTGAGAAACTATTGATTAATTTTTTTTGGGCCTTACCTATGTTTTAAAACTATCAAAGAATATAGGAAGATAGTAAGAATATATTACCTCCAGTCCATATATCTGGGAAGCATGACATAGCATCAGGAATGAAATGTCAAATAGCATGACTCGGGTCTGAGCCATTTTTCCAGTCTCCCCTTGCATCTGCTTAGCAAACTCATTTATCCTGTAACACATAAGATTTGTTATCCTCCAGCACAATGTTTCAGCTAAAACACACATTGCACTATTTAGGTATTATGATAAAGTCTTCGAATCCTAAAATCGATTTACAATTTGTTGCTATTGTACACTATATATAGCCAAACTGTATGTTACTTACTTGTTGTTATATTGTACTATATTTAGCTATACTTTATGGTACTCACTTGACCAGTTTGTTTGCCAGGCTCTGTAGTTTCCCTATGGAGGCAGCTGCAGCTAAAATAAAATCCAGGTTCCTCCCTGACATCATCAGACACAGTAGACTCATCATGTCCCCCGGGGTCTTAGAGGAGTCGGAATTTTCCAGGGTCTGGGATAAAAACAAATTTAAATCACTTGTTGTCCTGAGATCTTAGCTGACAGTATGCTAAAGAGAAGCTTTCAGCATGCAAAGCAGATGAACAGTTATTGTTAGTGTCAAAATGGATATTGTTAGAGATTCACTGCACAATAGAGATGTTAGTTAGAGATCAACATCTATGAACATGTACATGAATGCTTGACAATTCAACTCTAGAAGCAGAATGAATTTGAATTACAAAATGAGCATTTGTTAGTTTAAAAGAGGTTAATATTTTCAAACATGATTTAGGTTTGTACATTTACTACGTTTGCACATACATGTATAATACTTTACCACAGTTGGCAAAAAAATTCAAATGAATGACATAAATTATCACTAAGAAAGTTGGAGATAAATTGAAGGTATTTTAAATTACAAATTTAAACATATATGTACTAGTAAAAGTAAACCAGTCTTCACTATGCCATACTAGGTTAACAATGTAGTCAATATCTCTACATAATGTAATATGAAAAAATAAAGTGCTCCTATTTTGATCCTGTGAATGACAAACAAACTACAAACAGCTCACCAATACAACATGCCTTAATTTTTACATTGAATATGCCCCATTGTGTAATACATGTGTAAAAAATTACATTAAATTAAATAAATGTGATTTCCATGTTGTTAATTTTCCTTCATTTTTTTCCATTTACAGAAGTTTGCAACTTTATTAAAAAAAAAAAAAACCATAAGGATGACAAACAACAAATGTTGATCAGAAGAGCTCAACCGCCAAAGGCTTCAAGAGCTGAGAAGCTAAAATATATAAACGTACAGCACTTTCCTTTCCGGAATCAAGGTGTGAGAAATTACTCAGGCCCTGCAAAAAACCAGAACAGTCACAGCAAGCCAATCACTGACCATTCATTTTAATCCCATGTCCAAACTGCAGAACAAATACCGTTAATTATAATTGTACCCCCCCCCCCCTCCTAAATATTTAGATACTTAAGCTAAAATCTTTGGGATATTGGAATTTCAGTAAGACTGATTTAATGCAAGTTTTACTGACTTTAAAAAAAAAATATGTAATGGAGACTGAAATGAATGGTCATGCTGAATCATATACAAGTATAATCAAAGCAGCCTAAAAGTCGACAAAGTTAGGAGAAACAAATTGTGCAGAAGCCACAGTCAATAGCTATAAGCATTCAGTTGATCAAGAATAGTGGCAAACTAGGTCACTTGTGCTTGTAAAATAAAACACGTATAGATATTGATATAAATCTCAGTATGTCACACAAATATCTCCTATCTAAAATAGTGAAATCCTTCATTATCATTTTATGTGGCCATTATTAAGATGCGTAACAGATATTTGTAAATACATGTACTGTAATTATAAACATGATAAAATGAAATTTAAACATTGTAATTTACATCTAGATGTAAAACTGGCCATTAATGTGATTTTTTAAATGTACCGACCCAACAAACATCACACTTAACACCATAGTATAATGAAAACATTAAAGACAAGTTTAAAAGAGAACAAAGTCAAGCTTGAGTTACAATCACACTTCATTATAGCTGACAGCAGTAGACCACTAAAGGTCTAGCAAGTAGTACGATTTTTAGACAAAACCTTTATGATTCTTGGAAGTTGTTGTTCATTCCGTATGATCAGGATCGGAGATGACTGTCCACTGGTCTCCATCTTGTTTCCAGAATTAGTATTTCTAAAAAAATATTACATTTAAAATTCTACAAAATCAATAGTTGTGTGGGAGGATCTACAAATACGGTACAAAAAAATGTTGTTCTGAATGTACATGTAGTTACACATTCTCTTAAATGCCTTAGACTTGTAAAATTATTATTTGTCTGCTGTCAGAGATCTTACCTTCTGTTCAAAAGCAACTGAGTCTGGTTTTTATCCAGTAAATCATTTTTGCTGAACTCCCCTACTAAATATTTTAGACATTCACACCTACAATTTAGTAAATAAATAATAAAAAATTAGAGACAAGAATAATGCAACAATTTCCAATATATGTATGTTTTAAAGATGCTACATGACATTTACAATTTTATTTCATTGATCATCATTACAATACACTGTCAGTTGCTTAGCTTGGTTACTGAATATCCATATGCAGGGTAGGGGAACAAAAATGCATTCCAACTAACCAGTAATTCCTAACACTGTGACATAAACCCCTGACCCAAGGTCCACACATTGCACAAATTTCAAAAAGGCACCCTTAATATCAAAAAAATAAATAAATGTTTTATAAATACAAAAGAGCAGATTTCAAACAATAAATTCATTTTCAGTATATAAGTAGAGCCCCCACCCCACCCCTGACCCTGGGGCTTTGAAATTCTCAATTCTGCAAGATTAAGGCCCTTGCTCATCATAACTATAAAGGTAGTTCATCTGCTTTATACCCAGAGACAAAGAAAAAAAAATTTCAAAGATTTAATGTTTTTTCATTATATAATATACATGCCCCCTAACATTTGTTACCCTGGGGCCATAAAATTCATAATTTTAAAAGAAATTTCACATCATAACTATGTAAGTTTATTTAATTCCTATAGCAGAGAAGAAGATTTTCAAAGAATTCAATATTTTAATATATAATCAATAGACCCCTGCCCTAACACCAGAAACCCTGACCCTGGGACCATAAAATTCACAATTTTTAAAAGCACTCTTGCTCATTTAACTATGCACTTAGTTAGTTTATTTAATACCTAGGAGCAGAGAAGAAGATTTTTTCATGTATTTTTACTTTATATAATCTATAGAATGATTTCTAACACCAGAACCCTTGAGCCATAAAATTCACAATTTTGGTTGAGGCACTCTTGCTCATCATAACTATGCACTTAGTTGGTTTATTTAATACCTAGGAGCAGAGTAGAAGATTTTCAAAGAATTCATGTATTTTCACTATATAATCAATAGAGCCCCCCCCCCCCCCAACACCAGAACCCTTGACCCTGGGTGCCATAAAAAGGAAATTTTGGTAAAAGCATGCTCATCAAACTATGTACGTTAGTATATTTAATACCCAGGGGCAAGAAGAAGATTTTCAAAGAAATCATGTAATTTCACTATATATAATCAATAGAGCCCCGCCCTAACACCAGAACCAATGAGCTGGGGCCATAAAATTCACAATTTTGGTAGAGGCACTTTCATCATAACTATGCACTTACGATTATATAGGGGAAGAAGAACATTTTCGTGAAAATGTATTTTCACTGTATATAATCAATAGAGCCCCGCCCTAACACCAGAACCCTTACCCTGGGGCCATAAAATTCACAATTTTGGTAGAGGCACTCTTGCTCATCATAACTATGTACTTAGTTGGTTTATTTAGTACCCATCATCACAAAACAAGAAATAATACATTTTCATATATACAACTGCCCTAGCACTAAACCCCTGACCCCATGGCCATGAATTTACAATTTTTAATATATAATGCTGATTACAATCATAACATTTAATTCCAGAGAGAAGAAGATTTTTAAAGATTGCATTAATTTTAGTGGTTTTGGCCCCACCCCTCAGACACACACAGGGGGGCAGGGATCATGAAATTCACAATTTTTGGTGGGGTTCACCCATAGATGCTTTGTGCCAAATTTGGTTGAAATTGGTTCAGTGTTAGAAGAAGCTGAAAATGTTCAAATGTTAACACACGACGGTGACGAACGACAGAGAGCCGGACGACGACGGAGAAAACGGTAGCAATAGGTCACCTGAGTTTACTCAGGTGACCTAAAAATTAGAGACAAGAAAGATTTAATATATGTATTTGAAATGATGTACATTTACTTTTATTTCAGTCATGATGAGTCATAAATCTTCTGATATCCATCAAGGATATACTTACAATTAATAATTCCAATTATAGGGGTCAAGGTCAAACACTTACTTGAGTTTGATTTCCACGAGGTCAAGGAGAGGTACAGAGTTCATGAGTTCACTCAATCCCTGGAACAGATCTTCTCCTATGTCCTGATTGGGGGACTGCTGCTTCATAAACCGCAGAATCTGGGGCAGCTACATAATAATGTACAATATTGTGTATTTAGTTAATTATACATGTACATTTGTTATACAAAATAATCAATTTAAATTTCACATCAAACAAATAAACTATACTTTATTCAATCTTTAAGTACTTATTGTACGCAAAAACAGCTAAAATCTTAATTTTTCATTTATTTCAATGAATGTACCTACATGTAGTATTTATTTTTTCATGTACTTATTATATACCCCTAAGAATGATTTCTCACATAAGCATTCTGTTACAAGCTTAAAAATATGCCCATGCAATTACCTTCAGATATGTAAAAGCTGCCCACTTAATCTCCTCTGGGGTGTCTACACAATTATTTAATCCCATAAAACAGGCCCGGATAATTTCACAATACAAGAACGGCCTTGTTAGGTGCTACAAAAGGAAAATGAAAAGATGGCAAAATAGTACATGTATCATCATCACAAAACATGATATACATTTCTGATATTACAATTGAGAAATATTGAAAATATGTACAGATAAATTTTATTATCCCACTTCAAACAAATTTGTAGATTACTGATTGGATAAAAGCTAATCACATGACACCCTCAAATTTTCCGTATTATGTCGCCATCAAGGAGTAATATGAAAATCAGACAAGCGATTCCATTCCAAGCATTGTTATTGTAAATAACAAGAGGCCCACGGGCCTCATAGGTCACCTGAGTATTGTGTAACAACTTTCAAACAATTAAATTTGGTTCGTGTTATAAACCAGAGGCCATGAAATTCACCATTCACAATTTTGAAAGAGGCACCATTGCTTATCATATTATAGACTTAGCATGCTTACTCTATTTACTTAATACCCAGAGGTAGATCAGAGTAACAAAGAGAAAATGCACTTCCACTTTATAACCAGTTGTGCACCTCATCCCAAAGGAACCACTGACATTGGGGCCACATACCAGTATTTCAAATTTTGCAAATTTTATCATAAAATGGTTGATCAATACCAAAGAGCAAATTTCAAAACATTAATTTATTTTCACTTTGTACCCCCCACCCCCTCGCCCAGGGGGGGGGGGGCATAAAAAATAACCATTTTGCTAGATGCACCTTTCTTCATCATAAATACATGTATTATATACACTTGGATCATTGACATAGAACCCAGGAGCAAAAGAAAAGATTTTCAAAGAATTAATGTATTTTCACTATATAATCAATACAGCCCCGTCCTAACACCAGAACCCATGACTCTGGGGCCACAAAATTCACAATTTTGGAAAAGGCACTCTTGCTCATCATAACTATGTACTTAGTTAGTTTATTTAATACCCAGGAGCAGAGAAGAACATTTTCAAAGAATTAATGCATTTTTACTATATTACCAATACAGCCCCCACCCTAACACCAGAACCCCTGATCCTGGGGCCATAAAATTCACAATTTTGGAAGAGGCACTCCTGCTCATCATAACTATGTACTTAGTTAGTTTACTTAATACCCATGAGCAGAGAAGAAGATTTTCAAAGAAATCATGCATTTTCACTATATAATCTACATAGCCCCGCCCTAGCACTAGAACCCCTGACCCTGGGGCCATGAATTTCATAATTTTGGTAGAGGACTCAATGTTCATTACATTCATGCCAACAGTTTGCCTGCTTGATGTCCAGGAGTAAAGAAGAAGATTCTTAAAGATTGCAATAATTTTAGTGGTTTTGGCCCCACCCCTCAGGCCCCAGGGGGGCAGGGACCAGGAAATTCACAATTTTTCCCCCTTCACCCATAAATGCTGTATATCAAATTTGGTTGAAATTGGTTCAGTGGTTTCAGAGAAGAAGCTAAAAATGTTCAAATGTTAACACACGACGCACGACGACGGACGAAAACAGATAGCAATAGGTCACCTGAGTTACTCAGGTGACCTAAAAATGCGGTCTAAGAAACGGTTTGCGTAGGTAGTTTAATTACTTAAATTTCTGGTTATGATATTTTTTGTTGATTCTTATTGGATTAAAACTTGATATTTTCATAATATGCACATAATTTTTTTTTTTTTTTTTTTTTTGGATATTTAAGAAAGTTTTCAGCGGGATAAATTCGTAACACAGTCAATTAGTGACCTAATACGGAGTCATACTGTGTAACTAATAATATATAAGTTGTTTATTATAAATTTGATTTAGAGAGAATAATATTGTAAATTGGCTTTATTACCAGAACCCTCTCAGACACACACAGTTGATCAATGAAGGGCTGAACGTCACTGGTGGGGTTCAGTATGGCCTCCAGGGTGACTAGGGTGTTAATGGTGGGACAGATTCCGAGGTGTGACACCTCACACAGAGCCTGGCTGGGGAGGGTCATGTCCTGTACCCTACAATAGAAAAGTCAGACATAGAGATAGAGGGAGTTATGTCCTGTACCCTACAATAATAGAGGTACTGTGAGGGTCAGGTCTAGAGGGAATTATGTCCTGTACCCTACAATAATACAGGTACTGTCAACACTAAAACATAAAGGTCAGGTCTAGAGGGAGTTATGTCCTGTACCCTACAATAATACAGGTACTGTCAACACTAAAACATAAAGGTCAGGTATAGTCAGGTATAGAGGGAGTTATGTCCTGTACCCTACAATAATACAGGTACTGTCAACACTACAACATAAAGGTCAGGTCTAGAGGGAGTCACTGGGATAATGACTTGTGTAAATGCTTTCTCAGAGGTACTGAGAACACTGACTTAACAAAAGGAAACCCAGCACTCTCATATGGGTATAAGGACAAAGTCCATTTTTTGCTTTGGAAGACTGCAAAATAGCTGTCTATTAAAACAGAATATAAAAGATGCACAACGATACTACGAGGGGTGATCAAAAAGTTTGTGAACTATCTCGATATCTACAAAACCACAATTCAGATTAGAATAAAATTTGGTACACATATAACCATACACAAGTTCTATCAATAGCATATGTTGAATAAAGTTTTACTCCTTGTTTGTGATGTCACAATATGAAAATGACGTCACTTTGTAGGTCACTTGTGACGAAAAATGGTTTTTTCAGTCGTACTCGTTCAACAAACGATTGTACAATTTATTGTATATCTTAGAAAGTCCTTTGCTGTAGCGTATAATAATTTGCATATACATGTAGTTTATTAAGACAAATGACTTATTAAAAATTCAGTCAATGATTGAATTGATCGTTTAAGTGAAGGAAGGCAGGTGGTTAAAAATGATACCTGTCATGTTGCCCTGTGAAAGCAAGTTTGAAAAGATATGTGTTTTTAATTAGGCAGTTTGCTATCAAAGACCTCCAATTTACACTTTGAAAAATAGTTGAATATTTGAACAATAATATAATTATTAAATATCTAAGATATCGTTTATTTTAGATTTTAAACATATCAGATATGATAAAAAGGAGGCACCCATTTTCTATCCACCTCGAATAAATGTCTCTCGAGAGACAGAAGATTTGTGTTTTAATGGTCGCCATGCTTATTTTTGGAAAGGATTTTCTTATCCATCCATTCTGTTGCCGAGATTTGACCATTTTTGACAAATGAACTGTTCTTGTTATAAAAATTAACTTACATGGAAAGAAATATAAAACTCAGAAAAATCGTTCAACTTCTGGGACAGAACGTCACGTGACCGCCAATATCATGTGATTCGCGCATGTGCAGAACGGTGGCTGGTGTTCATTAAAATTGGAGAGGACTAATTTGAAACCTAATCAACACTGAAACCAAATATTGCTTCTTTTATGAAAGTTATTCAATTAGTTCCCGAACTTTTTGATCACCCCTCGTACATGATGAAGATTCTGTGAATGTCTCAAATTTAATTCAGTGTTAATGGAGAAGTTGCATACACATGCATTGATTGTAGTACAGTGTAATAATAATAGATGACAATTATGCTTTTTGAAATTATGTTATATCTGTGAATCTTTAATGTTCTATGTAATAAAGATTCTGTGAAAGTCTACTAAAATTCTGTTTAGTGGTACAGAGTATAGGAGGAGTTGTTAAGAGATGGGTACCCCAAGTGCTACTGATGTACAGATGGACATCTCCTCCATCATATACTCTCTGCTTTTCAAGGGCATAATAATAAAATTAACACATTTCTTAAAATACAAGCACATGTACTTAAATTATTGAGATAATATAGAATTTTCTGTCTTTTTAAATTTTATCTTACATTAATCTGGAGTGAACACTGATTACAATTGATCATACTTTGAGAGAGTCTGTAGAGCTATCCCCACTTTCTGTTTAAAATTATTGCAACATATCTGATAAATGAATGCACATTTATAACATACCTATAAAATCTGTAAAAAATAATACTGTCAATAGACAACTTAAATTTTTTTAAACTAAAAAAATATTTATGAAAATAAAACACACTTTTTGTGTGTTTTTCAAAAATCTAAAAATTTCAAATTGTCTGATTTCTCAATTTTTTTTCAACCCAACTGAATTTGGGATAACAAGGTTTGACTGTATATAAATGCATAATTCAATGATCAGAAACCTGACAAATATCCCGACATGGCCATTTTGGAGAGATCTTGTGGGCCGCCACACTGGCGCTGTCGATGATGCTGGTGTACTCCTGCTGTTGCTGCATGTCTTTCATGGTCTTCAGGGACTGGAGAACACACATCATCAGCCAGTGGAGGGTTTTCTGTAGACATTTACACAGAACCACACTAGACTCTAACCCACTGGTGAAGCTGAAATCAATAAATTTTGGAAATAAATAACTCTCCCAAGATACACCTTGACTCTTGATTTGTTACTCATGCAAAATAAGAAAACCCCAGAAAGAATGATATTGAAAAGTCTAACAACATTTCTAAAAAATCCTATATTTATCAAATTTTTCATGCTATATTTTATAGAATACATGTAATTTAATTGCATATCAGTATAAATTTCATACTTATATAAATCCAACATTAAAAAATTAATTTGGCTGAAATTATACACTGATTTACTATTTGGTAATATAAATCTCAACATTGAAGTACCGTTGGCGGTATACACTGATTTACTATTTGTTAATAATAACAGTGTATTATACCTGATGTTACAAGCTATGACCTCTGTAATCTCGATCAGCCCTATGGTGCAGTAAGGCTTACTTATATCGTCATACTTCTGTACCAAATTCAGCACGGAACAAGGAGGTATCATCTTATACAAACAAAGAAGATTTAAATGGCATAATGGCATACAAGTAATTTAAAAAGAAAACTCATTTTTGATTGTTAAGATATTGATTTAAGCTAAGTCCTTTATGTCAGTTTACCTGTGACAATACAGTGTGCTTTAGATAACCCATGATCAGAACATTGGGATTGGGTCCAACTAATGCCTGCTGTAGAAGAATTTCTGAAAAACAAATACAATAAGCTGGTATTTCAAATTCCAACTTTTTGTACTAGTACATTCACATATTTATTTTTCCATCCACTATATGTATGTGAGATTTCTGATTTCAATTCTTTACAATGAGGGCATGGTGCTTACTCTTGAGTCTGACACCTTACATGTTAAAACTGACCTGGTAGCTCTTTCGTCTCTTCATTACTGCCACTGACTACTGACTTGAGATGGAGTCCCCACTGATGTTCAGTCCACCTCTCTCGCCACGCTCTCATCAAAAGGGCTTTTACTTTACTGGCAAAACTTGACGAAGTTGTTTTATTTGGAGAAGAACCAGTAGTCTCCATTCTTATATTTTAAGATGATGTTATCATTTTATTTTCTAGAAATTGGAAATGGAACAGTCAATTTGAAATTAAATAATGCTACCAAGCAAAAGTAAGAAAAAGATTTTGTATATAACAAAATATCTGACCCCAAAATATCCTCTTATAAAGCTGTTTTGTTTTTTCCTTTGCAAAAAGTTTTTATGTTTTTCAGGCAAACAAAAGACAAATGGTCTTTAAAAAAGCAAGTCTAACTTTTTTCATTTGAATTTTGTAAATCTGAAAACCATGTTATAAAAAAATGTGCTGTGTCTGAGGACAAAGGTAAAATAAAACTAGATTTGGTTGAAAAATCAATAGCTTAGCTGTGAATCAATGAGTTTTACATATTAGACTAACAAAAATCCACAACATCAAGTCAAGGTCTACAAGGTGTCAAAAATTTGGGTTACAAAATCATTGATGCAAAATAATCCCAGAATCTCCCCTTCCGATTCGGGCATTTTGATATGAGACTGGAGCTGAATTTTTTTTTGAGATGAAAAACAACATGTAAACTTCCTGTATTGACCAGATTTATTAAAATTTAGGGAGTGCTGATTTTTCTATATACTGTCAAGAGTGGGGATTGATTAGGCTGTGATTTTCAAGCACCTACTCGATTTCACTAACATAATTTGCCTTGCTGGATAATGTAACTAAAATCTTTATAAAGAATGGTTTTACATTAGGACTGGTACAATCACTAAATTTAGCTACGTAGCTTGATTTACCTACTTAGCTTTATTTACCTACCTGAGGTAGCTTTATTTAGCAGCTACCAAATCAATTTATTTCTATAAAAAAGTGTTTTTCTCAGGGTATGCAGAAAATATCATTTTGATGCAGTGATCATTTTCAACTTTGAACTCATCTGAAAACAATTCATGAAAAATTCACTCTTGAAGAAATGTCTTTTTCTGCCCAATTGCAATCAAAATTCTGAAAGTTTTGGGGCTATGTATGACAGTTAAAACAGTTACTCTTTGAATGAAATGACAAAGAAGTCCAGTTGGTTAACAAAAAGGTAATCATTCAGCACAATGTGAAGTAATCATATAAAATAAAAATTTAAGAGAGGACAGTTAACCAAACAATGAAAACATGTTTTCTCTTAATTGTCCAAACCAGCAATGTAAAATATCTCTGCTCTGGATTGTTTTTTTTTCCCTGAAAAAATATACTGATTTTCAATGAAAACGCAACACACTACTTTTATGGTGAAAAATTATATACGGGATATAACTATGTACTAAACAAGTTAGACATCTTTTACTTTGCCAAATCAATTATTTAATGGTTGAATGGTTTCCATTCCATTACCGAAAGTTAATTTTTTAGCCCTCTTAATAGATAATATTTAAATAAAACCCCATTGGGTTGACAATTTAATCTAAACTTGCTCAGTCCGCCATGTACAACATACATGTATGCAGTCCGATTTTTACCATGCATTAGGTTTACCAATGTCTTTATCTGAGCGAAATAAATATTCTTGGGCATTTTTAATTGCCTGTTGTTCAGATAGAAATAAGTTGGCGCGTATATATAACTCTTGGACTTCCGGCAAAAACTGTTATTTATGCTATTGAAACACATGAGCCTGATGAGTCGTTAAAAAATTTGCATCTGCATTTTGTTTAATTTGACAATCTCCAGCATTAGCAATGAAAATATCATTTTGTGGACATATAGGCATCACATCCGGTTAAAAAGATTTTTTAACTGGATTTTATACAATAATGATAAACAGCTACAAAACCTTGAAAACTCAAATTGTTAAAAATTTCATTAAAAATGATATAAAAACATTTGCTGGCCTTTCTGTTAAGAGGGCTGAAAAGCAACTTCCGGTAGAGGAAAGAAATTCAGTCAACTGTTAAATAACTGATTTGGCAAAGTAAAAGATGTCCTAACTTTTTTGGTACATTGTTATAACCCGTATATACTTTTCTCCCTAAAATTAGAGTGTTGCGTTTTCATTGACGGTGAGTATATTTATATTAATAGTCATTTAATTGCAATTTTTTGTCTCTTTTTTAATAAAAAGAAAAACTATGAAAAGTTGCATTGAAATAGCTAAATAAAGCTAGGCCTATCTGAGGTAGGTAAATAAAGCTACGTAGGTAATTCTACCTACGTAGCTAAATCTAGTGGTTGTACTGGACCTGTACAAGATCTGAAAAGGAAACTTTTCAGAAGTTTGTTTTAAATTAATTACATCTACTCAAACTTGTGCATTTTTGGTAAGAATGTATAGCAGAATTTAATACTGTTTAATACTGTTGTGCAACCTATTATCTGGCTGCGCGCTAAAATTAGCCATTGTTTGACTGAACCAAAACATGCAAAATGGGGAGATGAAAATGCGATTTTGTTAAATTTCAAGTCCAAAGAAAATATATCATAGCATCTATACATTTAAAAAGATAACAATTTATCAAAAAATACGTATGCATACATTATATTTACCTGAGAAAAATTTAACATTTAGCCAGCCTTAGACTTAGAGTCGAGAGAGAAAAAATAAAAAATGATGAACTAGGAAATGATTTGCGCCACGTAAATTTAAAACCCAGATTGGACAATATTTATCCGCAAATATACTTAAATCTATAGTCTCAGTTTATATGGAAAATTTCCACTTGAAAGGCATTTTTTTTATCATATAATTTAAGTTTTATTCTAAGGAGTTGCTTCTCCGCATACTACGACTAAAAATTATTTTCGTTGATCACATTCATCATCCCCCCTTTTTTCCCGTATATTCTGGTTTTGAACAGACATTGAAAAGCTTGCTGATTAACCAATTACTCACTTATTCATAAGTGGATCCAAACTCTAACACAGGGACGTGCACATGTTGCATCATCTTTTAAAAGAGGGGGAGAGGCAGTTTTTTTTTTCAAATTTTCTAAGTAAAAAAAAGACATGTAAAAAATGATCAGAGAAAAAGGAAAGCTGTCTACAAACTCGAAAATCCACCGGATGGGGTGTGTGAGGGTAAGTTCAAAATGATATATTTTTTTTAGTCCGCACATTAACAAATTGCAATGAACAAACTATGATACAACAAAAAGTTGGGGGGGGGGGGTCAATAAAAAACTTCAATAATGCAATGTACTATCGGTATTTGGATCCTCCCTTCGTGCCTGCAACGTACCCTGAACAAAACATTTATTTACTAACCCTCAAAATTTGGACAGTCATTAAAATAAAATATTAAAAGTAACGTACATATAATTAAACATAACATGCCCAATAAAACAAAATAGTTTCAAATTACAAACGCATGCTTAACATTCTTCATAAAAACAAATAAATACATTAATTGTCGAATGATATTTTTCAATTTCAAACCCTCTAAAACAATAAAAGAGTCAATGTTATTAGGGAGGCTTCGGTCGGTCGAGGTATGCTTACGAGGCAGATTTCCCATAATATGTAAAATAATTATTTTTATCAGTTGCTTCAATCAACCCTTTGTTGGTTGCAAATGGGTGTTATGCAAGGCATGTGAGTTTGAAATGCTTAAAAAAAAGAAGATAATTCTAAAAAAAGAAAATCATATGTCGTGAGGGTGGGTGTTATTAAGTTCCAACTTTTTCATAACCAAATTTATTCATACATTACCACAATATCCTGATTGCCTATACTGTTACAAGGCGAGGGGAGGGACTAGTCTTTTAATAAACATTTTCCATGGAAAAAAAATAATGCTTGGGGAAAATTGGTGAGGGGTGGGGATGGGGGGTCACAGCACCCTACCGATACTCCGTGCCTGATCATCTCCATTTCTTTCCTAACTGACACAAACATACACCGAAAAGGAGGCAATGACATAGAAACAAAGTGCTTCTCTAATCACATCCTCTTTACATGATGGAAGTCCTTAACGTAGTGAGGTTATGTATTTAAAGTCAATCACCCATTGCCCGGTATATAACGGTTGTACTTGGAATACTTCTCCTTCATATGTATAATCATAATTAATTGTTGTCAATGGAGGATAGTTCCTGTTTATATTATCAAATGATTGACTGTAACAAAAAACAAAATTGGCTGGAGATGTCACGTATTCGTATATAAAGAATATTTCCCTCTGTGTCCTTCCTTTTGTTTTCTTCCTCATTTCTAAATTTCTAACTACCTAATGTAATCAAACATATAATATCGAGCATTTGCAGTTATATAATCTCATACAATGACTATACACGATCTGAACAGCCATCAATTCAAATTTCTAAACGATTAACAATTCCAAAGCACCTGAATATCTTTTGAAATTATATTTTGAAATTAAAAAAAGAAAATTAATAATAAAGAAAGGAGACGAGTGAACATGGCTTGAAGAATGCCTATGACTTCAGATTCGTTTAGAATAAAGTTCTCATTATTGAAATATGTAAAACAAATTATTGATACACAATTTTTTTTTTGAGAAATTTTTTCTCTGCAAAAGTTGTTCTTGTTATTTAAAAAATAATGTTTAGAACCCTAACAATATAAATCTCGAGGATCATTTTCCTGTGAGACTTGCATGCGACATGCTAACCACTAAGCTGTACAACTCCTAATGGATTGTGGTATCTAGATCATGTTTAATTGTTGTATGACTCTTGACTAATTTTAACTTTTTTCGGAAAGATGTTCAGTAATAAAAGTGTATAGAATGTATCGAGGCATATGACGTTAAGCACGGTGTTGGTGTCAATTTCGGTAACGTCAAAATGACGTTATTTTACGTGACGTAAGACAAAAATTGATTCTAATGCAATTGTTTTGTAAAACACGTTTTTATTGGCTAATGCACTGATGTTTGAAGCAGTTAAAAACACATTAACGAGCGTGAAAGCTTTTTCATTGTGACGTCATAATAGAGCTATATATATATAACACAATGCTTTTTTTGTATATATATTTCATGTAAACAAAATTCAACAAAATAAGACGTAAACAAAAACAAAATGCATGGTCCTTTATTTATAAAATGGGAATAATCATTTTTTAATTTAACATTAAATCTGACCGTTAATGCAAATTTACTATATTCAATGAAATTCCATTCAAGTAGAATTACCGGCTCCGCTATATTTTGTGGCGGAAGCTAGGTTTGCGACCGTTAATGATCAGTTTTTCCATTTTGAACTATAACAGTACTGATAACTTTGGATTCCTATTTTTTCCATCCTGATTGCACACAAAGCTGTTTTTTTAGTGAAATGTGTTATGATGAAGGAAAAATAAAAATTAGTTTTTTCAATGTTATCAAAAAAGTTCATATAAGTATATACATGTAGATAAATTCTCTGCAATTTTGCATGCATAATGCGGGAGTAAAAATATGTGCATAATTTGCCGCATGTAATAAACAATACGGTAGAAATTACAAAACTTGTTTGATATTGCATTTAAAATATACCTGCTTTTTATTTAATTGAGATACATTCAAAACCATTTCATATCATATCTTTTTTTAGTACAAACTTAGAGTTCATTTTGTTTCATGCTTTAATTATAAAAATGTGTAGGGAATATGTTGCAAAAATTTAATTTTTTTAGACACAAATTTCAGTCAAAAAGTTCATATTCAAGACTGTGCACCAAAAGAAGATATAAAATTTTTTGATTTGAATTTTAATGCAAAGGTGGTAGATAGAAACACAAAAATCATCATGGCAAAAAAATGACTTTAAATATCAGGTAACTTAAATGAAAATGGAGAACTTTTTAAATTTTTTTTTGTTTTTACAGATTTCTGCACTTTCAATGATGTAGTTATAGGAGGTACCATCTTTCCACACACGGAGATACACAAAACAACCTGGAATTCACCAGATGGAAAAACAGGAAATCAAATAGATAATATCACCATCATGAGTAAGTGGAGAAGAAGTATGCCAGATGTCAGGACAAGACGAGGAGCAGATGCAGCCTCAGATCACCAACTTGTTACAGCCACGCTAAGGATGAAACTCAAAGCATTCAAAGACAAATGAAACACACCGCACTACAAGTTCAACATCCAGTTTCTTAAAAAACAAAGAGAAGAGAGAGAAGTTCAACATTGCAATAAACAACAATTTTGAAGCACTAGAGTGTCTGACAGAGGCAACCATAGAAGATCACTGGGTAAAGCTCCAACACACTTGGAAAAGTGCATGCAGTGAAATCCTAGGAAAAAAAAAAAAAAAAACAAAAAAAAAAAACAAACAAAAAAACAAAAAACGAGGGAGTTCAAAGAGTGGAAGACATGCAGTAGGATCATGGGAAAACGTAAAACAAAGGACAGATTTGAAGCAAAAAAAACACAAAAAACAACCAGTGTCAAAATACTCAGCAAAACGAGAAACTGAGAACAGAATATAGAGAAGCCAACAAACAAGTCAAAAGGAGTGCTAGGAAGGACAAGAGACAGTTCCTCCATGACATGACATGACTGAAGAGGCAGAGAAAGCAGCCAGACAGAACAGCATGAAAAATTTCTATGAAATAACAAGAACACTCTCTGGAAGAAATGTGAACACCAACACCCCAGTAAGGGACAAACAAGGAAACATTATCACTAGCGATGTAGGACAAGGAGCTAGGTGGGTAGAACACTTTAAGGAAGTTCAAAATCGACCACCACCACCCAATCTTGCAAGTATACCACCAATGAAAGAAGAACTTCACATCAATGCAGGACCACCATCTATAATAGAAATCACCAAGGCTATAAAAACACTGAAAAATGGAAAGACAGCTGGTCCAGATGGTCTCCCCCTAGGCATTCAAAGCTATTCCAACAAAGTCAGCAGAAATGCTACAACCACTTCTGCAAAAGATATGGGAAAAGGAGAAAGTACCAGATGAGTGGAAAACAGGATACCTGGTTAAACAACCCAAGAAAGGGGACCTGTCGCAGTGTGGATATTGGAAGGTATAATGCTTTTATCCATTGCCAGTAAGACCCTAACAAGAGTAATCTTGGAAAGAAAGAAAGGAGCATTGGACAAGAAACTAAGATCAGAGCAAGCAGTGAGAGTTCCACCAGGACAGATCATGCACACATCATATTGCCACACTTCATATAATCGTCGAACAATCCATTGATTGGCAGTCTCCCCTTGACTCAATCTTCGTGGATTTTGAGAAAGCCTTTGACAGCGTGGATAGGACAACCATCTGGACATTGATGCAGCATTATGGAATACCATCAAAGCTTATAAGTGTCATCAGGCAACATGTCACATCATTTATAATGGGAAGCTCACAGATCCTTTTAATATGGACACAGGAGTGAGGCAAGGCTGCATCCTCTAAACAACCATATTCCTGATAGTCATTGACTGGATCATGCAGGAAACAATAAAGGGCAACTAGTGCTAATTGTCAGTGGACCTTCACCAAACAGCTTTTGTGAACCTGGACTTTTTTTTTGCAGAGTACTGAAGGATTTCATATAAGAATTATGAAGGCTACAGTGTTATCAACTATATGTCTCGCACAAGCATGCACAAGATGCATGTTGTCTAAACAACTAAAATATCTAAATATCGTGAGAATCAATAAAAAAAAATCATAAAAATATCAGTGTTACCGTTTTTCAAATATATTGGTCATTTTGCGTATTTTGCGCACGCACGTGCAAAAAACTGTCCTTGCATTCAAAAAGCATAATGTAGGAATCAACAAAAAATTCTAAATTTTATTCCATTTTGCTGAGAATCCAGAAAGTTAAAGGCATTTAAAGTTTCAGCCAATCAGATTGCAGCACACGTGCATGCGCATGCTTTCATGAAAATTCTTATATATAATGCTGTAGACCTTAATAGTGTATGACCATATTCAAAATTTCAAAGGATTTTGTCAAAAACAAGAAAGATATTAAGACTTTAGTTTCAGCCAACATACAAATGCATTAGATAGCTATTTTCATGTCTTGATATACTTCTAATATATTCTTATAAGAGTTTCAAAAACAAAAAATAAAAAGTTATGGCTATATCTATTACATTGGTCATTTCACGTGTTGCACGTGCGCACTCTTGCAAGGCCACGTATATGCACATGCTTTCATGTTAATTCTTATATATGGCTGATATCATATAAAATTTCAAAGGATTTTATCAAAAATCAAGAAAGATATGTATTGACATCAGAGAGAAAGTGGTGCATGTTGGATAGGCCACACTTTACTATGATACAAATATATCCTTATATTATGAGTTTCAAAGCATTTCATAAAAAATTGAAAAAGTTAGGGCTATATTCATTATATTGGTAATTTCACGTGGAGGGTGCGCGCAAAATGACCTTCGTTCCGCAAAGGCAAACCTGTGACCCTAAAAAGGTTTCACCTTAATCAAATGTGAGTTTACAAAAGAGGAAAAGATTTTACCAGGAAGAAGAAAAATAATATAATAATAATAATAATAATAATAATAAAATAAAAACAGAGTAAAAACCGATGGCGCGGTGTGGTTGGGGAACCCTCCAAGGAGCAAACAGCTTGATAACCTGGATTTTCAATGTGAAGTCTTGTAAGTACAAGATGTTTAAAAACTTTGATTGGCATACTCAAAAAACTGGCCTTAAAATAAACACCAAAAAGACAGAGGTGATGAGAATCAACAAAAAACAAGAGATAGCAACCGAGTTAAATGGGGAGAACATCAAAGAAACCGACATATTTACTTATCTGTGGAGTATCGTAAACAAGGACTGTGGTATATATATCAACACAAAATACAAGACATATTTTAAAATACAAATTTTTAAAGCACTCTCCATCAACAACAAAATAGGATTTTTAACACAAATGTTAATGCAGTTCTTTTTAAATGGTTCCGAGATATGGAAGGTAACAAAAACAATAAATAACTAACTGCAGTCTTTCACAAATAAATGCCTCCGCCATATCCTTAACATCAGATGGCCTGATATCATATCAAACAACATCCTATGGGAGAAAACCAACCAAAATCCCATATGTATTGACATAAGAAAGAGAAAATGGAATGGATAGACCACACTTTACGCAAACCCTCAAACAACATCACAAAACAGGCTCTGGATTGGAACCCAGAATAAAGAGGAGTGTATCAAGGCAAACCTGGAGTTTTTGATAGATATATAGGCAAAAATAGGCAGGTTTTACCTGGACCTAACTAAAAAGCATAGCCCAAGAGTCCGTTGGCGCGGTGTGGTAAAAAATAATGCTCCCCAAGGAGAATATATAAGTATTAAGTCAAGTACTGATTTTAAAAACTTTGTGATACTGAACTTCCGAACTTTTGTGACACACCATCTCATTCAACATTCGCACAATAAATCGACTTAATATCAGGAATTCCAGCATATATATCAACACAAAATATCAGTCTATTCTAAAATATAGTTCTTAACACACAAAATGAATTATTGCGATCTAATTTCAAAATAGATTTAGCTCATGTTCTAAGTAATCAAAGGCATTTCATGTTCATTCCATATTTCTTCGGTTAACGCTTATATACATCTCTGTCTTGCAATTTAAGCAACACATTCACAACATACGGATTAAACGACAACACAATTGTAAGAATTTACATCAATAACATCATATTTTGAATTTTTCTGCCAAATTTTATGTTTGTATTGTTTGTTTTATGGAAGTTATCAAAATTTTGTCATTGCATGTGCGTCGCTCCTGTTACCGGTCTACATGCGTTTTTGACGTAATTGATGAAATTGTCAAGTTAACATATTTAATAAATGGAGTTATTTTAACAATATTTTTGTTAAAATGCATTAAGTATACCATTATCAACCGAATGATATATAGTTTTCATATAGTGAATTGTTTTATACTATACATTTAACAATTGTAATTTTTGACTTTGACGTTATAACACCAACACCGTGCGCGTACATAACATAAAATATCACAATTTGTTTATTTATCATATATCTTTTTAAAATTTTTGTAATTCATATTATATGTACTAAAGAGTAGTGAAAATTTCAGAATGCAGTGATGATTATTTTTTGTTCACCCATGTCTTTTATTGTTTAACTTAAATAGCTAATCATTACAAAAAATCAATTCGCAGACGTTATGTGAGTGTCATTCGACACTTTGAAAAGCTTCAAGACAATATGGACACTGTGATGTTGTTGTCTTGATTATGAACTTTATTTTTAAAATTACATTCATAAAAATGTGGCTTGATGTTATTTCGTCCTAAAATACTTTATAACTTACAGAATACCTGAATCCATGCATTGATTTTGCACAAAAGTCGAGAGTATTTCAGACTTTGTCAAATCTTTATGTAATTGTAATCACGCATTCAAGATATTCAATCTGTTTTCCTCGTAAGAAAATGTGATGTTGAGCATTTAATAAAAACGTGACAACAAACTACCTCGATCAGCGCCCACGTTTTGTAAACTTGTTTACTCTATATTGATATATAGTAATCGAAACTGAGCATAAAAAACGACGTAAAAGGGCGTATTTTAAAAACTATTAGGTCTTTAATTCTTAGGTCTGTAAGAAAAATATCTTGAAGGAAATATGAATTAGATCATATGATCTCAAACGGTTGTGTTAAAATTGAATAACTAGGCCTTGGTACTTTAATATTCAGGCCTCGGTACGCCAATAAACAGGAAGTAATACATGACTACCAAATTAAGTGTCACATATATATAACCCTTTCTTAAACGGAGGTTGGGGTTTTGTCAAAATTACACGTACACTGGAATCTATGGTGGCATATTTCTGCCCCCTACATGTAAGATAAATTATGTAGACATGCAACATATTTATGTCAACATGCATTTAGTTATGTTGACATGCAAATTACCAATCTTATAAGAAAATATAATTTAAATATGGTTAAATTTACTTACTATCGTCCGTATCTGACATCGTAGATGCCAGATGCAACATAATTATATAGACATGTGACTTATTTTATGTCAACATGCAAGATAATTATATTGACATGCAAAATATATATGTTGATATGCAACTTATTATCTTGCATGTTGACATAAATAAGTAGCATGCTGAAATAAATAAGTCGCATGTTGACATAATTAACTTGCATGTTAACATAATTAACCCGCATGTTGACATAAATATCTCGCATGTTGACATAATAAGTTGCATGTTGATATAAATATCTTGCATGTTGACATCATTATCTTGCATGTTGACATAAATAAGTTGCATGTTGACATAATTATATTGCATGTTGACATAAATAAATCGCATGTTGACATAATTATGTTGCATCTTGCATCTACAATGTCAGATACGGGCGTTAGTAAGTAAAATTAACTATATAGAAATTATATTTTTATATAAGATTGATAACTTTCATGTCAACATAATTAACTTGCATTTTAACATAAATATGTTGCATGTCTACATAATTTATCTTGTATGTAGGGGGCAGAAATATGCCACCATAGGAATCTGATAACATTAATAGAGAAGGAATGGAGATTCCCTATTACGTTTATATCTGTTTACTATAGTACCTCTCAAATTTAATTTCAATCCCATTTTGTCCGAATTCTTATTTGACTTTTTTCTTTCACTTTCTCCTTACTGTCAACGAAAAAACCATTGTCAAACAACTGACAACGAATAGTAGATAGATCGTTATATTCTCATTAGAAGTATGAAGCCATGGCGATAAATACTAGTAGACCATTTGTCAATAAATACATGCTGCAGTAGGGCGATTTATTGATATTGTTATCGTCTGGCTCTAAATTGATTTTCTATCTTTTCATCATTTAAAATTATCTTTATTTTACTCATTGTCTTTTTTTCAAGATAGATAATTATACAAAACAAATCCTTCCGCGACATCACCTGTTGTACTCACAGTCATCTTGTTGTGATTCAGATGTTATCACAAAGAGGAAAAAGCAACAAAAAAGTACCTGGTGACTTAAACACGTCAATGCAGGTCCGTAACTAGTAACGTTTTCGAAGGGGATGCACAAAATATTTGCCATTTTACCCCAAACAAGTCTTTGAAAAAATGGGGAAGGGGTTAAGTTTCCACAGTTGAAAATCGCATTTCTTAAGAGTTAGGGTGCAAGAATCCGTTAAAAATACTGTGCACTACGAAGGGACAAACTGACTTTATTACTGAAAATTAAACCAAAAAAGGACGGGTGTAGGGTATAACCGGCCTCAATGAACATTTTCAACAGTAAAATGTTATGACTGGACAAAATTGGAACCCCCTCCTCTAGTTACTAAGTGCATGCAATGTCAATAATATATCAACAATTTACGTACTTTATGATGAAACATGCATGTAATAATTCAAAACTGCATTCAGATTTGCCTTTATTTTATACACATACCGTGAATGTTAGAGATCAGGGTATAATTTTATATCGGGTATTGTTGATTTCTAATTTTAAAGGCGTCATGTTGTTTAAGTCATACTCGAATGACCTGAACAGTCATCAGCCCGGAAGAGAACACGTATAACGTATATAAAGAGGAGAAACCAAATAAAGACTCAGACGATCGCATAGTGCAGAGAGGTTAATCATGGACATCCTTAGAGGACTGGGACTGATTTTAGTGCTAACTGTTTCACACGTGTTGTCCTCTACCACCGAGTCTTCGGATTTTTCCTCGACAACTGAGTCGAGTCCTACTGTTCCCACAAATACTTCAGATGAATCTGGCTCTGAGTTATCAGAGGAAGGGGTCTATGTTCGAGTTTTGGGACAATCCGGGAAGATTCTCATGGGAAGGACCAGAAACCCAGCGGAAGACCCCAATGGCATCAAAGTGACTTTCGATGCCATACAAGAGACAGATAAAGATGGAAAAGCTATTGGTACATCAGGGCGTGTCAAACACAGCTTCAACACGTTCGCCAGCCAGAAATTTACGGTCTCTGACATTACAGACGACGTTTACCAGAATCTGACCGCCAAAAGACTTGACTTTGTTGCTAGCCTAGCGTCAGTTGGAGCCACGCTAACTGTTCAAATTTACCTGTTTAGTGAAGAGGGAAATATCACGCAAAGTGATGAGGTCACTCAAGTATCTAAAGGGACATTAAAGTTTAACATCATCATTGAAAATTGGACATTTTGTGGAACCAATGGAGAGGAATGCAGACAGGGGCAAACACTGAATGAAGGGGAATTCATTGATTTTACAATATCAATAAAAGGCAAGAAATCGGCCAGCAAAAAGCAAGGTGGGAAAAAGAGAACCAACGCCCAGGAATTCGACTTGGGCGGGGAGGCGTCTGTTGTACTCTCAGGAAAGGTAGGGCTGACGAATTAATATAACACTTCTGTATTCTTATGTTTCTTTTATAGTTTGGTGAGAAAAGGTTTAGATGATGAAAAGAACTATGCAAAAAAAAAATATATATATTCATTTTGAACACTTTATTTAGACAAATTCTTATGGATTTTGAAATTTATTTTCTACGTTTGAAAATTATTTAAAAGAGAGTACAAATTCATATAATTTTAAAGTTATATTTTCATGACAGATTATCAGTTCAAATGAAATTTTAATGCAAATTCTCCTTGACCACTTTTTCAGGCCCGATACGATAACAGTTCAAATTACGATGATCTGCCAGAAGGATTCCCCAAAACTCTAGTGAGAGGATCAAGCCAGTTTTTTGTGTTCAGATTTAAGAAATTCAACTCCTCTGTGTTTTATGACCCTCAGTTGAACTTGGAGGGAAATGATACACTGGAGGGAAGCACCACCGAGACTCCCCCATCAGATGAAACTATTTCTGCTGCCCAGATTACAACCAGGATTCTAGGAAGGTCCGGGAAAATGACAATTGGACAAGGTAGCGACCCCAACCAAGATGCCAACAAAGTGCAGGTGACATTTGATGAACTGAAGGAAGTGAACAGCGCCGGGACAGCTGTCGGAACAAGTGGTGCAATGAAACACAGCTTTAATACCTTTGCAAGTCTTGACTTCCAGTTCTCCCAAACGGAGGACGTTACATATATGGGTCTATCGGCAAAAAGATTAAACTTTACTGCCGACATTGTTTCTGTTGATGCCAAACTTACAGTGCAGGTTTACATATTTACGAGGGCTGGGGAAATCGATGTAGATGGAGAAACCACCAAAGTGGCTTCAGGATCAGTGAAGTTCAACATTAGAATAGACAATTGGAAATTCTGTGGATCTAATGGGGTCACATGTAGAGCTGGCAACACAAATGAAGTTGGGAGGGCAATAGATTTTACCATTTCAATCAAAGGCAAAAGCACTGGACTGAAGAGAATGAAGAACAAGAGGACAGATGGCGAAGAATATGACTTGGGTGGAGGCGCTGCAGTTCTTCTATCCAGAAAGGTAATAACATTAAGGAAATCATGTAGGCCTACCGACTTTTACTCTTATTCACTACACATGTATGTCTGAAATGTTATGTTTGATACCTTTTTCATAGTCATTTGTACAATATATCTTTCTTTTTGACAGATACGAATTGATGGAGGAAACTACACAAACATGGCAGAAGGGTACCCCAAACTTGATGCACGTGGCAGTCAACAAATGTTCGTCTTCCGGTTTCCAAACTTTACGTCATCAGTCCTGTATGACCCTCAGATTGTCCTGTCTGTCAGTGACGGCACGGACGGCTCCGGTGTCGTCACTTCCTCTCTATCCCTCTTGTTCACAAGTTTAGCGATCTTAATGTCCATGTTTCTTGAATGAATTGAAATGAGTCTTAAAAGAATATGTATGACAAATCCAGCACCTTGTTCACTCATTTCAATTGAATCTACAACAAAAATGATAAAAGCCATTGAGGAATAACAATATTGTTCATGAGCCTGTTCTCTCTAGAATTTATTTCATTCACTTCGTTATTAAGAAAATAAACATTAAGTATCACCATTTCTTACCTCTGTATCATTCTTAACTCCTGATCACTAGGGACTGGAACTGTTGAATATATGACGATGTGAGAGAAAGTTGCCAGAAGATGCAGGCGTCTTTTGTATATTATCACTATGAAGAATGCCAAATGACATGTGTATCATGTGCATTATATTATTAGTATAAAGAATGTCAACTGTCATGTACTTCATCAGCAATGTCATTTTTTGCCATTTTTATAAATCAGTTGTTATATTAAATTATTTGTTACTATTAAAAAGTTAGTTACCGGTGTTAGCCTTTCTCACTTTTTTTCATTTTTTGTTTTATTAACTAATTTATTTCTTCATTTTTTGGTTTTGAGTAGCATTTTGTATTTTGTTATGTACATTGCCTGTACTTTATAAGGTCTGCTAATACTGTTACCGCTGAAATATCATTTCATAATAACTAGCCTACAAAGTGTAGTATAGGGATGCAATTTTACACATAACCTCAAAGGTCAAAGTTATAAATTATAGTTCACCGTGATCTCACCTATGTAATTCCCGAGGGTCCGTGTTTTGCCCAGTGCACAGTTTTGTATTGTTTGTAAAAAAAAATTGAGATCGCTCACTGTTCATCTTTACCTTTTTCCCGATAGATTCTAAGTATAACCATCTTCATGTACACGGTTTGGTTGTGTACCATTAAGGTTTTATATTCCTGTCAAACCCTAAAGGGGGTAGTCGTGCAATTTTGATAAATTTTATTGCAATACTTTTTTTTTTACTTTTTAGATAGAGGAGATGATTTGTCTGACAATTTCATCTTTAACTTTTACTTACGTGTGTATATTTACTCATATGTTAATTTGCACACATAAGCAAATTTTCGTCGTATGAATGGGTTAGTATCTACGAAAGCCCAGAAGGCTCATTCGAGATTCGAGTTTCCAAATACGAGATTAATATTCGAAATTCGAGATTCAAAATTCGAAATTCGAGATTCAAAATTCGAGTTTCGAGATTCAAGATCCAAACGAACCAATCAAAAGCGGGTTCAACATTTGATTATTTCCCTTTATTATGTTTTTACTATCAAGAAATAATTCAATATAATTATATCAAATGGGTCATTTCATTAAATTACAATGCAAGAAAAAGTGTTATATATATTAGAGGGAAATTTAAATAATTAATGGATTTTTGATCCGCAATGAATATTTCAATTTATATCATAGATTCTTAAATACTAAATAGATTACATATATCAGGAGTATATAATTATATTTTTGTCTTGATGACAATTTACCGGCCGCCAGGAGATGGTCGGTTATATGATATGAAAGTTCGAAGTCGCTGTGCGATTCTGCGGAGTTAAAACAATTTAAATAAACAAGAGGCCCAGGGGCCACAGCGCTCACCTGAGCACATCAGCTAGGAAAAAGCACATATTTGATCAGAACTGAAAGTTAACTGAGGTGGGGGGGGGGCTTGAATTTTAACCCCCCAAGGGGATCATAATTTGAACGAACTAGAATCTACATTACCTGAGGATGATTCCATACAAGTATTACTAATCCTGGCTTTGAAGTACTTGAAAAGAAGATTTTTAAAGATTTTTCCTATATATTCCTATGTAAAACTTTGATCGGCCATTTTGGCCCCGCCCTACCCCCGGGGGTCATGACTTGAACAAATTTGAATCTACTCTACCTGAGGATAATTTCACATGAGTTTCATCTTTCCTGTTTCAATGGTTCTTGAGAAGAAGATTTTTTAAGATTTTTCCTATATATTCGTATGTAAAACTTTGATCGGCCATTTTGGCCCCGCCCTACCCCCGGGGTCATGACTTGAACAAACTTGAATCTACACTACCTGAGGATGATTCCACATGAGTTTCATCTTTCCTGGCCCAGTGGTTCTTGAGAAGAAGATTTTTAATGATTTTTCCTATATATTCCTATGTAAAACTTTGATTGGCCATTTTTGCCCCGCCCTACCCCCGGGGGTCATTGAACAAACTTGAATCTACACTACCTGAGGATGATTCCACATGAGTTTCATCTTTCCTGGCCCAGTTGTTCTTGAGAACAAGATTTTTTAAGATTTTTCCTATATATTCCTATGTAAAACTTTGATCGGCCATTTTGTACCCCCGGGGGTCATGACTTGAACAAACTTGAATCTACACTACCTGAGGATGATTCCACATGAGTTTCATCTTTCCTGGCCCAGTGGTTCTTGAGAAGAAGATTTTTAATGATTTTTCCTATATATTCCTATGTAAAACTTTGATCGGCCATTTTGGCCCCGCCCTACCCCCGGGGGTCATGACTTGAACAAACTTGAATCTACACTACCTCAGGATGATACCACATAAGTTTCATTTTTCCTGGCCCAGTGGTTCTTGAGAAAAAGATTTATAAAGATTTTTCCTATATATTCCTATGTAAAACTTTGATCGGCCATTTTTGCCCCGCCCTACCCCCGGGGGTCATGACTTGAACAAACTTGAATCTACACTACCTGAAGATGATTCCACATGAGTTTCATCTTTCCTGGCCCAGTGGTTCTTGAGAAGAAGATTTTTAAAGATTTGTTCTATATATTCCTATGTAAAACTTTGATCGGCCATTTTGGCCCCGCCCTACCCCCGGGGGTCATGACTTGAACAAACTTGAATCTACACTACCTGAGGATGATTCCACATGAGTTTCATCTTTCCTGGCCCAGTGGTTCTTGAGGAGAAGATTTTTTAAATGCCAATAATTTTTCTCTAAATCATGATTATCTCCCCTTGGAAAAGGGCGTGGCCCTTCATTTGAACAAACTTGAATCCCCTTCACCCAAGGATACTTTGTGCCAAGTTTAATTGAAATTGGCCCAGTGGTTCTTGAGAAGAAGATGAAAATGTGAAAAGTTTACGACAACGACAACGCCGACAACGACGACGACGACGACAACACCGACAACGACAACGACAGACAACGGACAAATTGTTCAGAAAAGCTCACTTGAGCCTTTGGCTCAGGTGAGCTAAAAATATTTAACATTAATATAATAGTATATTAAAAAGACGGTCTTAAGGTTAAAGAAAAACGCACAATAAACATAAAATTAAAAATTCTTATGAAGAATGAGGTAAATAATTCATCCAATACTGACTGAGAAATTTAGATATGTTTGAAGTGCGGAGAAAATTAAGACATGTGTTGGGCGTAGTCTAAATCAAAGACCGCGTTATGTATATTACACAATTTTACTTTCTCTATTCAAACGGGATTTGTTGTACGTATTTATTTTAAAATGACGTGTACATATGTACACATATAAACATTTTGAAAAATATGGTTAAATGTAAATTCATCAAAAGACTTAGCAGGCTACAAAATATTACAAGATTTGGCCATTAGCAGACGAGGATAATGCACGTTTCACAATGTGCCAAGAATTTTCCCGCTACAACTCAAAGAGAAGAAATGAAGTGGCGGATCTAGAGGGAGTTTAGTTTTTTCCTTAAGAGAGAGCAAGGATACCAACATATTTGCTGCATTTTTATTAAATTAAACTACACTGCATATCTAGTTGTAGATTACATTTAATGTTAGTTTTAAACTTTTAATGTAAATGCCATACAGGCCCACGGTTCAAAAGTTGTTGACGCAGAGTACCAGGGGTTAATACTGAACATGCATTATATAATTAAGAAAATCATGCAATGTAGAGCACAAACTTTTAATATCACGAGGATATATATTAAAAGATAAATATAAGATATTTTAAAAACAGACCACCATAGTCTTTAGTTGCTTCATAAAAGGAACAGTAATTGGTTTGCGGCTTATTTTTGACGCTTACGTCAATACATGTTTCTTGTCTTAATTTTTAGAAAAACACAGGTACGTGTGGACAAGACCCCCCCCCCTTATATTGAACCCCGGGGCTTATTTCTCTGTTATGTGTAGCCTTACAATACGAAAAAAATCGCTTGAATAATCGCTCAACCAAAAAAGCACTATTTATTACCCCACTTTACAAGAAAGAAAGCTGTTTACGGAAAAAATGTGGGATTATTACGTGATGCAGAGTCAGTCCGATAGCATGGACTAAGACAGAAATCAGTGGCAGATTTAAGGGGGGCGCACCCGGCGCGCGCCCCCTTAAAATTGTCCAAGTTAGCATAAAACATAGTTTGTCGAGAAAATGTTTTAAATGTCTACTCGGTAGACCTCATTTTTACCCTACAAAACCTCTAGAATCCAAGAGCTTCCGGGGCCTTCGCCCCCTGGGCCCCCACCAGGGCTTTGCCCTGACCTACTGGGGGCCTCAAGGTTTTACCCCCTGCCTGAATCTGGCGCCCCCTAACTTCAATTCCTGGATCCGCCCTTGGAAATACATTGTATATGTAGAGACAGTGTGAATCGACATATAAAGTTAAAACAAAATAAATGCATTTAACACCAGTTACAACGTAAACAGACTGGAGTGGCATATCCGTCTCTTATAATGTATAGTGGGTATCTGGGGGGGGGGGGGTGTTGAGCGATTATTCTGGGGATTTTACAATTTTTTGTTATTGTATACATGATGAATAAGTTTAATAAATAAAACTTGTGAAAAAAATGTCCAATAAGCCCTAGGGTTGAATATCGAGGGGGGGGGGGGGGGTGGTGGTACCTTTCACAAGTACCTGTGGTTTTCCTAACACAGGAAATGCATAAAAATTAAGTTTAGTAGACAATTCAAAAATATATATACTCCTGATATATGAAATCTATTTAATATTTAAGAATCTATAATATAAATAAAAATATTTTTTGCTGATCAAAATTCCATTAATTGTTTAAATTTCCCTCTAATATATATAACAATTTTTCTTGCATTGTAATTTAATCAAATGACCCACTTGATATAATTATATTGAACTATTTCTTGATAGTAAAAACATAATAAAGGGAAATAATCAAATGTTGAACCCGCTTTTGATTGGTTCGTTTGGATCTTGAATCTCGAAACTCGAATTTTGAATCTCGAATTTCGAATTTTGAATCTCGAATTTCGAATCTCGTATTTGGAAACTCGAATCTCGAATGAGCCTTCTGGGCTTTCGTAAGTATCCACTGTAAAATACGTGTAAATATTTTTTGTTCTAATATTTACACGAGAAATTATCCTCATAATATACATGTATTT